GCGGTGGTTCCTACGAACTATCTGCTAGCCATGCTTGACCGCTAACAGGTAGAGGCACTAAAAGAACTCATTGCCGACAAGGTGGATGAGCTTGACAAACATGGAGAGCACCACCCACTTTTTGATGGCATAAGATATAAAAAGGGGGTAGGTATTGTAGCATGTATAAACAATGAAACATGCACCTGGCTGGCAAAAATTATTCCAAGCATTAACTTAGCAGAGAGAATTACCGGGAGTCCGAAACTGGAGAGCTACTGCAGCTGATCGTAGCGACTGGTGAAAGCTTTTGGAGGATGCCCAGTCTCGGTGGCGGGATTTAGCGCCATATATGTATGTATGTATGTAAAAGAATAGAGCAGAGATGAAACCTCGATACCACAGGAAGAGGAGGAGATTCTGGAAGGAATTGAGGTTAAAGATCCTAACCAGAGCGGCTCAGAGGACCTGCCAGCAATCAGACACCTTGCTAGTTGGAAGGGAGCCGGTCACAGCGCCGGGGAGGGGGGGGGGAGGAGGGAGAGAGGCAGGATGAAACCAAATGGGGGAAGGTAAGCTCTTTCGCCTGGTGAATCCCAGTCATCTTCGTCAACTGTAAAACTAGCCCCTGGAAGAACAAGTAAGGCGAAGGGAGTTAAGTCTGGTGGTGAACCAGGAGGAGGGAAGAAACTGGAGAAGACAGTGAAAACTGTTTCCTATGGTGAAATCCTGCTACTGGAACCATCAGATAACCAATCTCCCACTATTTTTAATATACGAAGCTTTGGGCAATGGGCACTGGAGGAAACCGAAGGCAGGACTGATACCAAAGACTCAAAGAAGTTAAGGCTGGGTCTGAGGGTGAAAGCCTGCCAGTCTCCACCTGAGAGTCCGTCCGACATGTCCACCGATTAACTTACTTAGATGAGGCTGCAGCAAATCAATCAACACCACTGCATTGCTCTAAGTGGAGTACTTCTACAATATATCAAAGGTGTGGACATTGATATTATATTAATCAAAGAACTTTACTCAAGTAATAATAGGATCAGGAGGTTGGGAATCAATGGCTATGGAACTATATCTGTTGCCACCAACCCTAGGGCCTGTATTCTATATAAAAAAATCACTAAAATGACTGCCTCTTTGGCAACTCTGTTCTAGAGATTGGGCAACTCTGTTCTAGAGATTGGGCAGTAGCCAAATTTACTTCACCAAGAGACAAGAGGACACTAACATAGTGCCGGGTTACCTGCCATATGAGTCGGGAGGTCCTGCACAAGACATGGAAAATATTTTAAATTCCAACAATGAAGACACCCTGATGGAACTTGACGCTAATGCCCATAACATCATATGGGGCAGCAAAGTGTGGGTGGGGTAGGCGAATGGGCTAACGCGTGCGCACAGCACCCCCGTTGCCTGGCAACCTCATATATGACAAATGATATCAAAATTTGTTTTAAATCCCTTCCCACACCCCCTGGCCCGGGAAAACCCCGTATAGCCTTAATGGCGAGGAAGGGGAGGAAAAAAAAAAATATATGGGGCAGCAACAATAACAAACCCAGAGGTGAGATATTGCTGGATCGTATTATTAGTAATAACTTACACAATAGGGGCAATAGACCTACCTTCTTTAACAAATTAAGATCATACAATAGGGGCAATAGACCTACCTTCTTTAACAAATTAAGATCATAGGTTGTAGACATAACGTTGGCCTCAAGTCAGGTCATGTCAAAAGTACATCATTGGCATGTATCGGATGAGCAAACATGTTCTGACCATAAATATATCAGATTGGACTGGTATGGCAACACTAAAACTATAGAGAAGCATAGAAATCCAAAGTCTACAGACTGGAAAGAGAACTTCTCATACCTGGATGAGGCCTCCAAATACTGACCAAAAAAAATAAATAACACTTGGCAGCTAGAATGCCTCAATTCATCTTTAACAGAGGCAATTAGAAACTCTTATCTGAGCAGTAATGATATCCAAAAGAAGGGTTTTCTGGTGTGACAAGGACTTATGAAGGCAAAGAACACTCACAAGAAGGTTGTACAGTGTCGCAAAAAGATATGGCAACTGGGAGGTTTACAGGACCGCCCTCACAGAATATCACAAATCTGAGAGGAAAGCCAAAAGACGGTCTTGGGGGAACTTCTGCCAAGAAATTAATAATACTCCTATGGCAAGTAGGATAAAAAAAATACTTACTAAACAGAAAGACCAAGGAATACTGGGTACACTCAGGGTCAACAGCAAACATACTAGTAATGAGCTGGAAACCCTAAGAGAACTGGCAATAGCACATTTTCCTGGATGTAAGACTATGGAAAAGGCTTGAACAGACACTAAACTACCTAGCTATACAGCTAATCGAGGGGTGTGGACTAAGGCTAGAAAAATTGTTACGGCATACAGACTAGAATGGGCAGTATCTCCTTCCAAATCGGCAGGTTTGGATGACATCCTACCAATACTGATTAAAAAAGGACTTTTAATAATTAAACCCTATCTCTTAGAGCTATTAAGGGGCAATATAGCGTTTTGATACCTTCCTACACAATGGAAAGGATCCAAACTATGCTACATTCCAAAACCTGGAAAAGGAGCATATAATGACCCTAAGTCATTCAGGCCAATATGTATGTCATATTTTCTAATGAAGACATTGGAGAAGATTCTGGACAGGAATATAATAGAACAATTAATGAACGCTAATTCTTTATATTCCAATCAATTTGCGTACCAACCTGATGAATCATGCGAAGCTGCAATACATAATCTGGTTTCAAGGATTGAAAAATCCATGAATCAGAAGGAAATAATGATTGGTACCTTCGTAGATATAGAAGGTGCCTTCAATAGGACTCCTTACAAAACTATCATGGATACTTTAAGGACAAGAAAAATAGATCCACTTGTCACCAAATGGATTGGTAACATGTTGGATTCACGAATTCTTAAAACTAAACTAGGAAACACTGTAATATGGATCAAACCTGGAGGAGGTTGTCCACAGGGAGGTGTGCTCTCTCCATTACTGTGGTGGTTGGTGGTGGACTCCTTGCTCTTAAAACTAAAGGCTTTTATGCACAAGGATATGTGGATGACATAGCTATTCTTATAGGTGGAAAATAGAATATTCTATCTGATCTGTTGAGAAATGCGACAGGAGTCTTGGAGGGATGGTGCCGCTCTAGTGGACTAAGTGTCAACCCGGCCAAGATAAATGTTTGCATTTTTACAAAGAAAAAAAAGGTAGAAGTAAGACTACCTAAAATAAATAATATCCAGCTAACAGAAAGTAAGGAGATAAAACACCTAGGTGTTATGCTGGAAAATAAAATGACGTGGAATAAGCATGTAGAGTACACTAATAAAGCTCTAAAATGTCTCTGGACATGCTTTTGAGAAGGCATGGGGAGTTAAACCTCGGATGGTCTACTGGCTGTATGTTACAGCAGTCGGACCTGTGCTTTTATATTCAACTGTTGTATGGTGGCATAGGGCAAGAATAGGCCACAACAGGACACAATTGGAAAAATTACAGAGATTATACCGTTTAATGATAACGAGCGCAATGAAAACTACTCCGACTGCAGCTATAGAAGTAATGTTAGGTATATTACCATTACAACTGGAGATTGAAAAGCAGGCCTTGAAAACTTATTACAGGCTACAAAAATTAAACTTATGTGCAAAGATAAACTCCCTGGAGAGACATTGGGAAATAGTTCAAAAAATTGAGGCAGACATGTTGCTCACAATGCATTCTGACACTCAAACTAGAGAATTTCTCACAAAGATGTATAATGTAAAAATAAACAGCTCAGGAAAACACAAACCCTGGGGTTAATTATCATATTAATGGGATTAATTGTTATACTGATGGGTCACTTATGACATGCGGATCTGGTACTGGTTTTTGGAGAAAGGATAAACCAGAGGCTGGCATGCCAATACCACTTGGAAATTATGCAACAGTTTTCCAATCTGAAATACTGACGATAACTCACTGTGCCTCAAAAATGTTGCTTGACGGGCTAGTTGGAAGGAGAATTTCAATACATACTGACAGCCAAGCGCCTATACGAGCACTGGACAACTATACAACTAGATCTAAGGCTGTTGAGGTAAGTGAAAGTAAACATATATTTTAGTCATAATTAATAACGTTTTGCAATTCACTAACCTGTTTGCTACAACTAGACAAATATAGCTCAAGTCAAAAAGTTTTACAAAAATATTGGAACCTCTTCCAAAATACTTGCTGATAATGTCTAAAGTTTTATATCTGAAAAATGGAAATATTTTCTACAATCCTTGGACATTATCCCAATTCTCACAACCATTCAGAGAGAGTAACCAGCCAATGAGGAAAGAGCATCGAGACCAACAGACAGTGACCGGCAGACAAGTAGTGGGTGTCTAGACGAAGACAGGAAAATAGAAGATTAAAAGAAGACATTTGTAGAAGTTTGATACAGTAAAGCCTGCAGCAATAATATAGAGAAAGATTCACTGAGGAACAGAGTGAGTGCAAAATAAATAGTGACAATTATAAAGCGCCAAGAGTATATCCCGACAAAACTGAATGGAAATTCATAAATATTTCATAGAAAAGTAATGTATACTTTTAGATTATATATTTGAGGAATGTGTGTTTATTTTTTCCAACCCAGCCGGAGAAATAATTTGTAATCTTTATAATAATTTAAAATAATTGAGTAAAATAAATATAATTTGGTTAAGAACCTCTTTGTTTACTTTTCAATGGAAATGCAACTTTACAATATATAAAAATATAAATAAAAGTGTCTTGGGTTCAATACTACGTTAGAAACTATTGTAAGGAAAGTGGCATTATTATTACACTACATGATAACCTAATAACTCTAATACACTTGACTTTCTAATCATTCACAATTTGTTCATCACATTCTTTAACCACTTGTCTCAAAAATTTCATGTGCACGTTCCAGACCTAATTATTTTTGTATTATCTCATTTCTTACTCGGTTCCTTTTGGTTTTGCCCACTATTAGTCAAGGTTACTTTTTTCCATGGCTGAGATTTTGTAAACGTATTAATTTATCTGTTTCAATGCTTAAATAGAGAATACCAGTGTCAAAGCCACATGGTGATATATTTCTTGTCACACCTGATGCCAAACTAAGACTTTTATTTTCTTTCAAATATTGTTGTCTCTAGTTATTTTTAACAATTGATATTAATTAACAATTAATTAAAAATTAAAAATTAATTAACAATTTATATCAAAGCTCTGGATTTGACAAGAGCTTGGGATCATGCAATACATAGGTGTGAAATGAGTTTCACTGATATACAATGAGAGAGGGAGTGTGTTTTTTGTACTGTTTCTTTTGAAGTACCATATGTGACAACCGGTACTATTTCTATTCAAGCTAAGTAACTCTACAGGTTATTTTCTGATATTTGTTTCTTGCAAGGTTGATGACACAGCGAGCTTGACTTATAACCATGCAACTGCCGACTGAACATAATTAGGTTGGTTCCTATCAGTATCTTTCTAAGCTCAATGTTACCATGGAGTACCCAGTATGCTTAAAGATTGAAAATAGCGTCTACGTTTGTCTTTTTTTTATTGCTCCTACTTCATTGAGGAGAAAGAAGTTTCGGAATGTTATGGAGTGAAGATACTTCTCAATAATCTGGTGCTTCTAATGCATAGGAACTCTGAAAAGCAATTAAATATTTTTTAAAAGAACTTTAAAATAAATTACATTGATAGAAAGAATATTATTTTAAAAACACACATTTTCACTCATAAATGTAAGTAGTGCTGCTTCAGTTGCCCTTTGTTTTGTTTGTTTCTTTTTGTTACCACTAAATAAAATACCATCCACCTATAGAGATAGAAACAAAATATTAGTATTCATTATAAAATAAATAGGGAAAAATTGACAAACTATCTATTATATTTTATTCCATTAACTTTCTTACCTCTTAATCATATTAAATTAGGCTTTAAGAAGAAGATCCAATCATGATTATTCTGTGGCTGCTGCCCCTAAAATTATAGTGTGCATAAACATCACAATAAATCATCATAGCTACCATAATTATAGAACAATATAGTAATAAAAATAACCAAGGATATTCTATACTCTAATATAAGCACAGACAAATAGCAAAAGATCAATCTGCCTTGAAATAACATAGAAAGATTTTTAACTTTTAGAATTAGGATTCTTGGGCCTTAGAAATTGATTGATGTAATCCTTTACTCCAGAAAAACTATACTATCCTTCTTTTTTTTTTTTTAAATCAACATAAACTTTTGATTTGACCAATATAGAAATTAAACACATGCCTGATAAAATAATTTTGTTCAGCTTCATATCATTATAAATTACTGGTACTGGTGCTGGTGGGGGGAACTAGTTTGCTTGTTATCTTTTTTGTCAACCAGTTACCTTCAGCTTGTTGTTGCCAACTTACCAGAGAAATGAAAACTAACAGACTCAGGTAGGAATCAAACCCACGTTCATAGCCGGGCACTCTTTGACCGATGCCCCAATGTGCTCGGACATTGTGTCCTCTCATTATTAATTAAGTATGACATCAATAAATGTCTGAGTATTTTAAACATATAAATTAGCTAATAAATACGAATTTATTAGAGCTTACTATTATACTCATATCTCCTCCACATTATATTTTTTGTGAGAGAATAATTAGAAATAATTACAATTTTTTCCTCCAGAAGAAGTTTGTTGCACTGAGCAGAAAATACACATTTTTACGATTTTCTCAAACAGAACAATTTTCTTTCAATTTGATTAAAACTTTTGATAAATATATAATTAGCATTTCTTTAACATCAAGCAGACACCACCTCCATTGAATTATTTACAAAAATAAACAGAACTTAAACATCAAATTTTCAAAATGGGTTCCTCTAAAGTATAGAAGCAAGCATCCCAGGAGGTAAAATTCTAAATAGGAACTGTCAAAAAATAAACATTAACTGACCCAAATGGGAATCAAACTCACAATGTTTAGAATCGGGCACTCTTGAGACTTGCACTCCATTCTCCTGGCCTAACCTAAGAAACTGGAACTGGCATGGTTCCTTGTCGCAGGGCAATCATGAATAATGAGAACCCGACATGCTTCCAACTAGTGGAGCTCGCTATTCTGGGGACAAGACCTGCCTTAGGAATATCAAAGAAACAACTGTGAGAATTCGTTCTAGGATGGGCATAGATAACAGCAGGTAAGGAGTGGAGGAAATGCACTGGACTTAGCAAACCAAAATAGTTAAACCCTTCTCCTATAACCAATTATTGACTGCTAGGCCTAAACATAAATGAAAACTGATTTATTATTGGAGTACTTACAGACCATTGCGAACTCAAAAGACATCTAAAGATTTGCAGGATTGTTGATAATAAACTCTGCCATTTGTGCAGACAAGCAGAAATCGTCCCAGACTAAATAACAGAATATGACCAATTCGGATTGCTTAGAAATAGACTTCTGGACTCAAATAGAATCCTATAACAGAGGGCTTCCACTATTAAATGGGTATTTCTGTAGAACTTCGTCTGGAGAACCTAAGGATTTGAGAAAGAGATGGAAGAAAGATGATATGTTATGATTTTCGAGGTTGGCTAAAATGACCCATAAAACTCATCTGCATAAACAGATGCCTTGTACAGAGTTATGACAGAAAATATAGTCAACACATCAAGTGCTCATCTGTTACAACTACAGTAAGACCCACTCACTGTTCACTATTACATATTGACACAATTATATCAGGGAGCAGGATGTCCAAACGGGCTAACGTATGTGCAAAGCACGGCGCTTTGCCTGGTAACCGATAACCAAAGTTTGGAGACAATAAAATTACGAGTTCGCGTCACGGTGCCTGGGGGTCTTTTAAATTCCCCGACCTCATTCCTCATGCATCAGTTATTACATCAAATTTTAGTGGATTGGTCATTTATGATAAATATATATGGGTAAAAACTGATCAATTATTTTTAAAAATTATCATGGTGAGAAAATATAAAAGAATGAACTTGACAATTGTTCGTCATCTGCCAAGGTCTTTCCCAGTTTTTAAAAATTGATTAGTTATGATTATTTTAAGAAAAAGTGATGTTTACAATGCAATCATTACCAATGTCATTTACGTATTAAAAATCATTATGGAGAAATTGTGATAAAAATTTTCAATTTATTCTATTCCTCGAGGTCCATTGATAGGCATGCTATGAAGAACTTCATCCAACAATTGTAATGCTCTGTGAAAATGAACCTGAAAATTTTTTTACATTTAATTATAATGACTTATTAAATTTACTTTTTAATTTCAACTTGATTTATTTTGATGAACTTATGTTACCACTGTAATAATGTCACTCCACCTTGTCCGGTGGACCAAGATCCCATGTTCACAGTATAAATGGGATCCCAAGAATAACCAAGGATTGATGTGTTCACGGTATAATCTCATTTTATTTAGATCATGATTAAGGACTATGATAAATCCTCTACTGGTCCTTTTCAGTTAAAATCAGAGCATTAATTAGCCCTAATTACATTGCTGTTTTTGAATCCTACTTGCTACACTTGCTCTAACAGTAAACACATACCTCCAACAGGTTCTTTTGACCAGTGAGGTCAGAACCTTACCAGACTGTTCAGTTATTTCCGTCTACTTTCAAACACACTTAGCCATTCTTGGGATTCCATTTCTGGTGCCATTCATGAAGTAGTACCAAACTTAAAAAACAAAATCTTATTACCTTTTAATATTTACATATAGTTTTGGTACTTAATATATTTTCTGATATATATATATATATATATATATATATATATATATATATATATATATATATATATATATATATATATATACCCATTAACGACTGGTACCACACCCTCTACCCAAAACCATACAATTTCTGTACACCCTCAGTTCTTGTCTGGCCTCCAACCATTGGTAATTGTTAAGAAATATCCTTTTGTATTTTTTAAATTTTTAGCTCTGATAATGACTCATGCTTGAGCCGAAACCTGGTAAACTTACATAATTATTGATTGTATATCCTATTTTCCATCCTTACAATTTCAACGGTCAACGATATATATCCAACTCCAAAAACAAAAACCATCACTAACTTACAGTCAAGAAAAGAATAAAAAGTTATAACTCGACTGCAATTAGTAGCCTCAGGATAAACTCATGAATCACTAAACTGAAACTAATAATTTGGTTTTTTCCCTTACCTTCAATATTACAACATATTTACGATATTGTAATAATAATACCTCTTTCAGATAGGCAGTTTTTATCAAGAACAAAAACTAAATTTAACATTTTATTGATTATTTTTATAAATGAATTAAAATTTAAATTATTATTTTAAAATACAATCCTTACCAAAGGAGGCCTTGAATTTAAAAGGAATATTATTACAATCTTAACCTCACAATATAGATGAATAAATTCATAGACACTACGAACACAAAGTTATATAACTTTGACACTGATAACTCTTTACAACTAATTTTCTATTGAAAAACTCACACCCCGCATTAGCTTTGAACAGATTGACTGAATATGAATTAACTACTTTCTTGCTAATAACAACAATAAAACTCTGACGGACTAGAGCTGAACTAATTATCTTATGGACCTTAGAAGAATGACTAACTTCATGTATGGAATTATTTCCTCATGTTATATTACAAAATTATGTAAATGTTACAAATAATCAATTTTCAATAAACACCTGTAAAAATAACTACAATAGATACATGTATTACAACATGATATTGAAATATATAAATATATTTTGAAATATTTAGTCTGAGAAAAAACAAACTGGTAGTTTTAAATTAATATCATGTCCTAGAGTCAGCAACTAAGTGTGGTCAAATTATATTTAAAAATAAATATTACTCTTTGAAATATTTAAATAAATCTTTAGTTTAATAATATACATCGTAGGTTTATTGCAAAAAGTCATTAAGTACATTTTTAATGGTGCTGAAATTTTAAGAACATTTTTGTATATTTCGAACTTATTTATCGATAACAGAACATGGTAAGTCCACCAAAATGTCATAAACCTTTTTGTATATTAAACAAGCGATGAAATATAAAAATAATATTTATTCCTGAGATTTACTTCAGTGTTTCAAATTTTTTCTTCAGAACATTGATTACATCCAAGTTTGAACTGACAATTACTGCATAATTTAATAGATATGAGGATAATAGTAGAATAAATCAGTTTTCCTTTTTGCTAAAAAATCAAATGATTTGTAAATATATAACTTAATGAGATAGGGATGACATAAAAAAAATATATATAATTTTTTGTCATTTACAAAAAATTTACTTCCTGGACAAAAAGCAGAACTGATTTATTCTTACGATCATTCTACTCCCTTCATATGTTGCTAAATACACTTTTGTCTTTTTCTGTACATTATTCTGAACATTCTTAGGAAAAAGAAATCATTGTGGTAAGATGGCAATGGCCAATGTTTTGAAATGTTTACTATGTTACTAACAACGTGGTTCTCTGTGATAAAAAAAACATACTTTTTCATAAATTTTAGAAAATTTATATTTTTAAAAGTATTCAAAATATAAAAAAATAAAATAAAAAAAAATATGAATCTGAAACAATTGGTTTCATTTTAATTTTTGCCTGGATGATTTAAACAGAATGACCAATATCTTTATAGAAGAACATGATAAGTTTTCATCTTAGTTTTATGAAAGAGTATTAACTAACTCAGTTTATAAAAAGGATATTGTTGCAGGGTTGAATAATGACATACTCATCACAAAAAATCATTTACAATACAAAAATATATCATAGTTACCCACTTCAATCCAGCAAGGAGTCTCTTTAATATTACTTCGAGGATAATCAGGGCCCCATCCTTTAATGAAACTTAAGCGTAAAACGCATGGTTTTCTCAATTCGTCCACTCCAATATAAGCAGCAGAGCTTAAACCTAGGGCATAATATTTATTTAAAACAATATATTATTGAGTATAAAACAACAAAATATTAACTCTATAGAATGATTAAGAAGTTTTTACAAACTGAAATGATTTTAAATCCAAAATAGAGATTAAAAAAGTGATCTAATTTAATTTCTTGAAGTTATGAAAAAAATTAAATGTTTCTCCTGTGATAAACTCTTTTATTACTCATGATTTTCTCCAACACATTTTGTTTTCTATTTCCTATTGTTCCTAAGTATTGTCCTATATGTCATCCATAATTTTTTTAATTTTGTCATTTTTCTTATAACTTTTTACTTCTATTCTATTTATCTTTTATTATTCTATATGAGCCAATAAATTTAAAAATCAGTCGAGAAGTTTGCTAAAAAAAACAACTATAGTCTTCTCCTCTATGCTCTTAAAATTTAAGTATATGACATACTTCGCTGAAGAGTATTTTCTTTCTTTTTGATGTAGTGCCTAATTGTTAACACCCAAATCTTTTAAGTTAGAAGCAGTGGTAAAATTAGATTTCCCAATAACTCAAAAAGTATAAACTTTTTAGTATATGTTATATATGGTCATTTAAAAGTTTACAAAATTTCCTAAAAAAAAAAGACAACGGTCTAAATGGGATATATGCTTTTGAAAAAAAGAGTTAAGAAAAAGTACAGTTTATAGAAAAGCATGTTTTTCTCTTGTCACGCAGCCACTATTGGGCAGGGAGCAACCAATTTGAGACACAGGTATCGGTAGTCGAAACACTGCAAAACAAAAAAAGAAGCATCAAAATCAATCCACTAGTTCCTAAGACAATCTTGGCAGAGACAGACAGACATACCAATGGCTGAAAATGTGTTTTTCGGAGTCAGGGGCTCTGAAATGTATGGATCAATTGAAAACCACACATCGAAAATTTGTGGTTTTGACCCAATCGCAATACTTTCCTTATCAAGTAGAGGTAGAAAAGTAATAAATTATAAAATGTGTATAAAATAGAATACGCTGTCTCATCGCTAATATTGGTTCGATTCTGATGAATTTTTTTTAGTTTTGTGGGTAATTTAGTTTTTTTTTTTCAAATGATTCTTATAAATTTTGCCATAGAATGTATCCCCAAAACATTTTTCTTTTCTTTATAACCTTTTTTCCTAAATTTTCTTGGAAATTTACTATATATACGAAAAATGAAAGGACGTTAAGTATAAAATCATGTTATCTCTTATTGTGTAGCTGCTAATGCACAGGGAGTAGCCACTTTCTGTCACAGGTAAAACAAAAAAAGATGCAATGAAATCAGTTCACTAGTCCTGAGATAATCTTTGCACAGAAAGATAGACCAATAGCTGTTTTCGGACTCAGGGGACTCTGAAACATATGGATTAGTTGAAAACCTCATATCAAAAATTTGACCCAATCGCAATACTTTCCTTACCCAGTAGAGGTAGGAAGTAAAAACTGAGGAGGTTTAAAGCTTTGATATTATTAAGTTGACTAACTGGGATGGGACAAATTGTATTTTAATGATATTGGCACAGACATCAATACACAGTAAAATTCCTTTGGAATGTATTAAACCCTGTATTTCAATGTATGATTACACTTAAAATGTATGATTTTTGAGATTAATTATAATTCTTGCAGAAAGCTTCCTAGGTGCCACACTTGCCATGAAATACCAATCAAATGTCATTTAGGTTTATAAAAATTAAAGCCTTCCTATTGGACAAACTAGAAATCTATTGAAATGGTTAACAAAATATATTAGCACTGAGATCCTTTGGACCATTCAGTTAACATAAAAAGACAATTTTTGATATTTACATAAAAAAAAAAAAAAAAAATTAACACATTAAAAATTTACACTTTAAATCTATTATTTCCTTTCCTGAGAAATAGAGAGTTATTAGATTCTTCTGAATATTAGAAAAATAAAAGTTTACAGAAACTCTTTTGTGATAGATCAGGAGATTTGTTAGTTAAAGCAATACATTACAAATCATAATAATTAAACATGCAATATCAGCTTTAAGATAGATAAAACTAAAACAAGATTTTTAATGTTAGAGGTTATTTTAGATAATAATTAAACAACAATTTTAGAGGTTATTTTGAAAGGAGGACCAATCAGCTTACGTGCCCCTGGAGCTATTCCTCCTGCATTATTGGATCCCCGACCCCGAGGGTGGCCTGCAATTGCTGCTGCATGAGCTGCTGCAGCTGCTTGGGCAGTAGCTGCTTGATTTTTCATGTAGATATGACACTGCTTCAAGTCAAAAACCTAAAAAGGAATATATCTAATAATTATAAGAATGGAGTCAGTCAAGCACATACACACCAATATATGACATTCATTAACCCGGCAATGGTAGCGTTCATCAAAATGATAAATTTTCTGGATGATTCAATTAGTTTCCTGGTTTTCCTAAGAAGGGATAGCTTCATCAATTTGGCGAAGTGATACCTTTTATGTATGTTAGGATAGTACGATATGATACTTTTGCCAGGTTAATACAAACAAATTTAATATTCCATCAGAAAGAAACACAATATCAAAACTCTTTAAACTTTAAAAAATTAAAAAAAAACATTTTTTTTTAAAAAGTATGTAACAAAAATAAATAAATTATTTATGAATTGATTTATTGAATAGAACCTGAATAATTATTTTCCAATACAGATGTGCCCAATTATTATCATAGCATAAATAACTGAGTAAAGAAGAATCAGGCTAGCTTAGAATCCAAAATCAAGATTGAGATGAATCACAGTAAGATAAAACAATATAATTAAATTGAACCCTACTTATGACAAAGCGTAAACATGTTATTATGCTAAACAGTAAGCAAGAAACTTTCACGAAAGATTCATCTGTGTTATGATTTCTAATAGCTACATTGCAATAAGCTGGCAGTCAAAGGGCAAATTCATGAGTCACGAAATTGAAACTAACATTTTTTTCTGCCTTACAGTATGATATTACTTACAAAACATTTACAATATATATTGAAAAGAGGACATGAATGATATGATTTGTATATATTTGTAAGTAATATTGAAGGATCAGGAAAATAACAAAATGTTAGTTTCAATTTAGTGCTCGGAGAACTGCCAACTCGATGTGGTCAAGCTACAGTTATATGAAGTAGAAACGTCCACATGTGACAAATGGGAATAACTTTGTTATTTTAATGTTTTATAACATTATTTTATCAAAAAAGTCACAAAGTACATTTTTGAGGGAACTGAACATTTTTGTGAATTTAAAACTTATTTATCAAATACAGCTGAATCGCCATTTTATAATAACAATACAGTTGATACACTATAATGACACAAACCTTTTTATATACCAAATATAGTAACAACAAGCACACTATTTTATGAATTTACAAAAAGAAAATTCATCAAAGTTCTTAGTGATTTAAGATTTTGAAATGTCATCTGATGATTTTTTACAATACACCAATGAATTTTCCTTTATTTGATTATTGCCTGAGGTGTCACAGTCATAAATTTATTAGGAATTTTAAAAAAGTAGGAAAATTATTCACTTCTAATTTCATTGGATATTCCGTAATTATGTATAAAAAGAGATTTTTGTCTTCTTTCATCCAACATTTTCCAAATTCCTTCCATAACCTTTCCTTATATTCTGTTTTAATTAATATTTAAAGAAATGTAGTAAACACAAGTTAAAAAAACCTAAAACCTGAGAGCTCTGGAAAACAGTAGTCAGTAATAGACAAGTTAGGTGAATTGGAATGCTTTTATTATTTTTAATTTTTCAGATTACTTAATTTGTTAAGTTTAAGGGATAAATATGATAGATTATGTGAAGGAGCGGGGTGGCCGAGTGGGCTAATGCATGTGCACAGCACCGCGCGTTGCCCAACAACCAAAGACAGATGACAAAATAATTATGAGTTCGCGTAATGGTGTCTGGGAGGGAGGCTTTTAACTCTGGCATTAATCCCCCACCCTCAACCCCTGATCTGGGAAAACCCTGTATAGCCTAAAAGGCCGAGGAAGGGGAGAACAAAACAAAATAGATACATTATGTGATCTGAAAATTGATGTTTTATTACATCTCCATATTCACCAAACTGGTTTTCAACTAACTACCAATGTTTCAGCCTGCTTGATGATGTTTTTGAAAAAAAAAAAAATAGATAAAAAAAACTTTTATGAATGTATGAATGTATTCAATTATATTGAAGCTAATGGAATTTATTTTGAATAAAAATAATACCAATGATGTTTGTTAGGTGATTTCACTAACATCTCATATTTTCTAATGTTATAAAAATGTAAAAAAAAAAATTATGTCAATCAATAAATCTTACTTTGATATAAGCAGATGAATATATTTTGTGAACTGCATCTCCTGGTGTTCTTCCTGCCTCTGAATCTAAGTAGTAGGACTGAAGAAAGACGGAATGTTCGGAAAGACAATGCAGCCACACATCTCCTTCTCCTCTTAAATCGAATCGAACACCTTTGCCAATGTACAATCTGTGGATAATAGAAATCCTTTGAATATATGTTATTCACTTTCTGTTAAATATTTTTTTAATATGGATGGAAGAAACCCAATACTAATATCAAAGTTTTACTTGTACTAAAAGAAAGAAAGAAGGAGAACTTTCTTCTAGAATTCTAACTTTACATAACTTCAGACAGTGACCTTTTCAAATATACCATCTCTTCTCTACTTTTAATAAGATAAATCAATACATAGATCAATTATGGACAGGATTTATGAGAGATAAATTCACCTTTATACATATTTTCTCAATTAGAATAATACATGGAAAGCTAAATGAGCACATCATCACTTACTAAACTTTGACAAAACCTATCAAATTAAAAAGACATTATATTCAAGCCTGTTTCTTGTAAACCTCCTAAAACTTGTATTGAATATATGAAAGAGTTTTAATAAGTCAAAGATATTTATGCTATGATTTATATCCAAATCTTGAAGTTAAAATAGTTCAATTCTTTAATGTTAATAGAAGTGAATAAAGTTTATTTCTAGTATTTGATAATAATTTTTTTCTGAAAATAAAAATGCTGATGAATTGATCTGAAAAATTTATAATATTTAAGTACCAGGTGTGGTGGTTAATAATTCTGGATTTTTTTCTTAATAAAAAAGAAGTTTAAATTGGAAGAAAGGAAAAAATGGTTTATTCAAAGTCATCGCTAGTTACACATTTTCTTCATCATTAGTGGATACCTCCCAAAATTATTTTAAAATAAATTAAACATTATTATTTATTTTTGCTATTTTTTATTTTGACTGATCACCCCAACCATCCTTCTCTTCAATTATTCTGCTGTGTGTTGATTTGTAAATATAAATAGGAAAGGAAAATAATCACACTTCGATTGGTCAAAAGTAATTAACAAAATTGGCTAAACAAAATAAATAATTTTGGCACTTATATTTATAAAACTAAGGTCAACAACGATTATAAAAGGAACTAAATTTCCTAACAATTTCAAGTCCATTTATGTTGAAGGATTACTGAATTTCCGGTAACGGCTTCTTTCAGAGATTTTATTTTTATTCGAAAAATTTAAGACCTTGTAATATTGATATTTTTTAGCCAATGAAAAAGGTGAGAAAGCTACACTGGCCTTAGTTGGCAGACATTTTTTATTTATGTGACAATTCGTATTTAAGAGCTTTTAAAAAGCCCTAAAAGGAATCTAATTTGCTTTTTCATAACAAAAATTTACTTGGTTTACTTCACTAGAAGCACCTTTTGGTTTTAGTAATTTATGAAACATTATAATTCATTTAATACAATAGTCAATATTTTTTTCTTATTTTACAAAAAAAAAAAATAAAAAAATAAATTGATACATAGTAACCTAAAAATCTGGGCAAAGCAAAGGCAAAAATAAATAACATAAATTTTGTTTGAAATTATATAAAAGATTTTTTTTTTACTCCTAGGGCCCATTGGAAAGAACAAAACAATTTAATTACAATTGGTTACCCCTCTCCTTGTAAGTAGAAAGTTTAACATTCTTTAAAGCGAAATTAAAAATAATTGTTCAAAAAATTGTTTAAATTTATTTTTACCTTTGAACTAAACAAAATCTAGTGCGGTGAGCGTATCACACAACTTTAACTTACCACCCTCTTAGCAGAAATAAGTATTTTCAGACAAAGCGAAGTGAAAGTAAAAATTATAGACTCTATATTTATTTATATTTCATTGTGGGTATTTATTTATTTGTATAAGTACCCTCATCTAAACAAATTTTAATATTTATATCATTGTAATCTAAACAATTAAATATTAAATAATACCAAAAATAGCATTTATGAAAACCATATATGTATATTTATATAATTTTGTCAGACTCCGTATTATATTAATCTTATGACAGGTATGGAAGCGTGGTCTAATCTTTCGGACGAGCTTGAGTTCGCTTGTATTTCTTTGGTTCCTCAATTACAACTATTCTCCGTTACGATATCTTATTTCTCTTTATTTATTTATAAAATTCTTTCATATCTTATATTTAACCATTTTTCATATTAGAAATTAATGTGAAATGGTCAACTGTTTCAAATAAAAAAAGTTTAAGGTACTTTAGAGGAGGCTGATATTGAAAATTAGCCATTTAAGCCCTTTTAGAGAACATCAATCAGAATAATAACCACATTTTATTTAAAACTGCTTAATTTTACACTAATAAGATGAATTTAATCAAAATCATTAGAGCAGTTTTCGAGATAATCGTAAAAATTTGTTTAGTCCATTATATAAAGTGGCACTTCTGGGTAGCCGATTTTGACAAAAAAGTTGCTGTAACATCCCTAACATATAAAAAGCTCAAATATGCAATTTCAGTTCCGTACAACCTTTTGTTTTTGAGCTAGACTGTAACATCCCTAACATATAAAAAGCTCAAATATGCAATTTCAGTTCCGTACAACCTTTTGTTTTTGAGCTAGACTGTTAACACACACATACAAACATGTTCAATTGCTTTGCTCACTTTATTTTTCATTTCTGTTTATGCATATTTCGATTTTTATTTTATTTTTTTTAAAGATAATAATTTAGTTGTTTTTGATCTAATTTATTTTGATAATTATTTTATTTTCGTTTATAAGAACAGACTATGTTTCATACTTTTAGACATTTTAATATACTTAAATATGTTTTATTCCGATGTAGAGGTACATCTTTCGTTTACTGAATTGTATATCTCCAACTTTTCAACATTAATAATACCTGGAAAATTACTATTCTTTATTTTCTGTTTTTGTTTAGCATCATCTATTATTACACTCATGATTCTTCGCAATAGAGGTGTCATCAACAATTATGTACTCTGGGCTCATACTAGCTCCAACCAACATAGAAATATTCCTGCCTCTAGCACATCCAATCTGTTAACCAAGCCACCCCTCCTTCTCCCATGACTAATATCCTTTTAACCTGCCACATCAACGCTCAATCACTCCTGTCCCATTTTGATGAATTTTATGATTTTTTCCTCCACAACTTCTACCATTTAATTGCAGTTTCTGAAACCTGGTTAAAGCCCTCTATTCCGTCTTCCCTAATTACTTTACCCTTTTATATTCTCCTTCGTCATGACAGAGAGGATCGTACAGGGGGTGGAGTGGGCCTCTTTGTCCATGACAGCCGATTCTCCGCACCTGGAATATCTTTTTACTGAAATCCTCACCCCATCATCTCCCCTTCTCTTTGCAGTCATTTATCCTCCTCCAAGAATTCCATTTGATGAATCATTTGAGACTTCCCTTTACAACTTGATCCCTTCCTACTCCAATATTATCCTCACCGGAGACTTCAATACCAATTTAATGATACCATCTTCTGACCATTCCTACCTAACAGGCCTCCTCGAATCACTCAGCCTTTATATAGTACCCTACAACCCTACACATCATACCCAGTTCTCAGAGTCCTGGCTTGATTTGTTTGTCTTGGATTCCATGGATAAACTCTTGTCGGCATCTCAGCACCCGGTTCCATTTCTGTCTTCCCAAGATCTTATCCAAATTTCCTACAACATCCCGGTCCCAGTTTTTTCTCTTCAAACCATATCCTTCCGAAACCTCAACTCCCTCACCTATGAAACCCTGTCGCAGGATCTCGATGCTTCCCAGTGGGACCCCATTTATTCCTGTAAATCCATTGACGCCATGGTAGAAATCCTTACCAACCATCTTCATACCATCCTCGACTGCCATGCTCTCCTAACTAAAACCATCCGACATTCCCCTGCTCCTTGGCTGACACCCGCTTTAAGAGAGTGCATGAGAAGAAGAGATGAGGCAAGACAAAGGTTTCTTCAAGCAACTACGAAACAGCACTCAGTCTGCTATACGCCGAGCCAAATCCCGTTACTTCCATCATTCCTTATCCAACACCCCAAACTCCAAGGCCAAGTGGGCTATCCTAAAAAAACTGACCAATTGCAACACACCTCAAACCCAGCTCATCTCCTTTTCTGCTGATGACCTTAACGCTCACTTTGTCTCCTGTCCCTTCTCATCCTCATCTCCCGCGGCTATGCCGACTCCTGTGTGTTTCCCTATAAATTTTAATCCTGATCAATTCTTTTTTTCCCATATTACACCTGATGACCTCCTCAACTCCATTCAAAAGTCGCAAACCAATGATTATGGACCTGATAATATCCCAGTCAGACTGATCAAAGCCTCACTACCATCCATCCTTCCAATCTTCTACCATATCTACAATTACTCACTACAAAATGCTACCTTTCCTACATCCTGGAAAACCGCACTAGTTCACCTTATGAAAAAGACTTCCAACCCATCAACTCTCAATGATTTCCATCCAATTTCTCTCCTCTCAAATCTTTCTAAACATTTAGAGCGACTAGTTCAAACCCAGGTATCAGATTTTTTAGAACAGAATAACCTCCTAAATCCCAACTAGTCCAGTTTTCGTTCTGGCTACTCCACTCAGTCTGCTCTCATCAAAATTTCCCAAGACCTTCATACAGCCATGGACCAGCAGAAACTCACCATCCTTATTCTCCTTGACTTCTCCAAAGCCTTTGACTCAGTAGATCACAAAATTCTCCTAACCAAGCTTAAAAATATTTCCTTCTCAACTAGTACCTTAATTGGTTCCAATCCTTCCTTTCCGACCGCTCCCAGTATGTCCCCAATAACCCCCCATCAGAACCTTTACCTTTGTCCAGGGATGTCCCACAAGGCTCCTCTTTATCTCCAACCCTTTTGTTCATCTACATCAATGACCTTTCATCCTCTATCCTTCACTGTCAATACCATCTGTACGCCGACGACGTCCAGATTTACCTCTCCTTCAATCCAACCGAATCCTCTGGCGCCATCCAAAAATTGCAGGAGGATATAAATGCAATATGTGCCTGGGCAAATCACAATAGGATTACTCTAAATGCCAATAAGACGAAAGCCATTCTGATCGGATCTCCCTCACTCCTCAAATCCATACAGATACTCCCCAATCTTTTCCTGAACAACTCACCTATCTCATTCCATACTTCCGTAAAAAACCTTGGTGTTACAATCGATCAAACCCTCTCCTGGAAACCACACATCTCCCAAATTTCCCGTCGTACTATCTCTACCCTGAAACAGTTTAACCGTCTCCGCTATCTCCTTCCATATAAATCCCGTCAACTCCTGGTTTCCTCCCTTGTTCCCCCACTTCGACTATGGCTGTCTGGTGTACGGCGGACACTCGGGAGAATTCGCGGCCAAACTTAAACGCCTAATGAACTGCGTAATACGTTTTGTTTTCGCAATCTCAAGAGATACGCATATAACCCAGTATTACACCAAGTTGAAGCGGCTCTATCCATCCAACTGCCGTTTGTACTTCCTTGCCACTTTTCTATACCAAGTCATCAGAACTCAGCGGCCTTCCTATATTTTTCACAACCTACAATTCAAATATTCCATTCAATCCCGTCTCACTAGATCTCGTACCTCCGACCTCTATCCACCTCCCCACCGAACTGCAGCGTTTGACAAATCCTTTATAATTCAAGCCGTCTCCTTCTGGAATACCATCCCTCCTGATATCCGACATGTACAATCAGTTTCCTCATTTAAATCTCTCCTTTTTAACCACCTACTCCTTTTCCAACCCGATTGATCAGGAAATGTAGATAAGAGAACTTTTAAAGTTCCCCCAGAAATGATTTTCTTTACTTATGCTATTTTATTTTATTATATAGTTTGTATTATACATATCAGAATGTTTTTAGTGTGATTGTTATATTTTTTGTTTTATTCTTTTTTCAAAATCTTGATCTTAATAATAAATGTAAATAATGAATTTTATGTATGGCCACACAGGCATTTATTCTGTATCTGTAATTTGTCCTAAAGGGACAACAGTCCCAGGATAATAAAAAAATATTTTCATTTCATTTCATACACACAGACCATTTTGTGGAACTTTAAAAACATGTATTTCTGTTTAAAACTCATATTAAAAAATGTTCACGATCGCAATATTTACCCTTACTATATATTATACACATAGGTAAGTGAAAGTAAAAAGAAAAAACATTTAAATGAAGTAACAATCCACTTACTTAGTCCGTTCACTCTGTTCTTTACGATGCACATTAGTAAGTGCTCCAAGGCAAAACCTATTTGTTCCTTCAGGATCAACGTAGCCATCGACAGTAACACTAGGTATAGTAGAGGAAACTTTGAAAGTATCTCCTACTTGTACATCAAGCTCATAGTAAGCTATAGAACACCAATGTTCAGGGGCTGGTTGGCTAGACAATAAACCTCCGGCTTCTATTTCCGGTGTTACTCCAGGGTTCCCTGAATACAACAACCAAAAAGATTTTATCCTAATCTTAAAAAAATATACAATAAAGTTTTACATACAAGAATCTCACATCTTTATAAAATCAGTTAATATGAACTGCCAGATAATACAAACTAATTTCTTAGCCCTTTCAAAAAGAATGCATTTCTTATTATATTTCTGAAAAAATCCTTAAGTTATTCAGTTAACACGAATCTCAAACAATTTTAGGCAATGATCGAATGAATGCTTTGGCAAACATGAACTGATTCTAAGTACAATTATTTAGTAAATAATTTTGAGTCACTCCTCATTTAACCTCTTCTTAATCCTTTACCTGAAATATCAGTTCCTGTAAAAAATTAAGAAGTTCCATAAAATATTATAACAAGAATAAACTTAATTTTAAATTATAGGTTACCATTGGAAAATTCCAACCACAGCCTATTATAATACCTCTAATATGCAAGAAAATAATAAAACAATTCCTCAACATTTTGCCAATCGCTCCATGACATTCATATATCTTTAAGTGTAGATGAATGGAGCGATGTTATCTTAAGTTTGTTTTATTTTCTGCCCTGATGATGCCTGAATTGGCAAAACATTGACAGGTTATTTTATTCTTTACCTGCGTTTTGGATATACGAGGCTATGTGGTTAGAATTTTCAAACTATGACTAAACGATTTTCTGTCTATTGACAAGTTTTTACTTGTTAAAGTTAATTTTAAATGTATTATTTAGTTTCTTTATTGATAGTAGCTAAGACTAAAAAATAGAAATAGAAAATCATCTTTATTCTAGGACGAGGTCCCTTAAGAATAACAGTATTGATCATATAAATTAACAATAAATATGGCCAAAAGACCTATTACAATAAATAATAACAAAATATTAGTAATAAATTAAGTATAATGGCTCTTAGGATAACTCTATATTCCCATCTTATTGGAGAACTGCTCTAATTCAATCTTTGAATAAAACTTCAAATCCTTCCTCACTGTATGACTTCTGTCTTATTTCTCTCCTCTCCAACCTCATAAAACCACTAGAATGCCTAGTCCAAAGTTGATTTTCCAGCTTCCTAGAGGAATTCCTCATCAATACTCTCCATTCTGGTTTTCGATCTGGCTATTCAATGCAATCCTCTCTCCTAAAAATAACTCTTGACCTATCCTCATCCTTCTAGATTTTTCCAAAGCATTTGATACAGTTGACCACAACATTCTTCTTACTAAACTGCAAAATCTTCCTAAAGATAGACCTAACAATGTCCTCCATTGGTTCAAATCCTTCGTCTCAGATCGGTCCCAGTATATAGTGGTTCCAGGACAACCTCTTTCCAAGTCACTTTCCCTCTCCTGTGGTGTTCATCAGGATTCCTCTCTATCATCAACACTGTTTCCTATTTATATTTATGGCCTTCCCCTATTAAGCTAAAGTTGAATGTGGAGAAGAAGAAGGCTATTCTAATATACTCCAATCACCTCTTTAATACTGTCCCTAATCCTCCTGTACCTAAATGGCAATCCCAACAAATTTGATTGTACCATTAAAAACCTTGGATTAACATTTGATTAAACCCTTTTCTGTAAAAATCATGTATCCAATATCTGCTGTCATTCCTTTTCTGCCTAAATTATGTAAGCCACCTATTTCCTTTAGAAATATGTAGGCTCCTGGTTACTTTCTTGACATTTCCCCACTTTGACTACTATTGTGCAGTATATGGAGACGCCTTTAGGGATCTGAAGGTAAGTAAAACTCAAACGTTGGATAAACGGCATGGATCGTTTTTATGGAGAGTTAAAGTGGCTTTATCCTTTCTACCATCATAAAGATTTTCTGGCATCCTTCCTCTACCAAGTCATCCAACCATGTAAAAACAAATATGACACAATTGGGTTTTACAAAACTGTAAACTAAGTGTCATAATGAAAAAAGTGAGATTTTTGATGAAAAGGGTCCATAAGTGATGGTTCTTTTATCACAGTATGTACAGGGTGTTTCAAGGTTAAGTTGCAAAACTGCAAAATTGAACTAAGGACCTCAAACAAGAAAACAATTTCCTCTGAGGTTAGGTCCGCAAACGCTTTAGAAGATAATCACACCTAAAGATTTTTTTTCTTATGAATTATTTAGGTTATATGAAATAAATAAAACCTATTTATTTGTTCTAACTAGTTTATTAATTAAATGTAAACATTACCATTCATATTAAAAGTTGTATAATTAATTTGAAATATATATATATATATATATATATATATATATATATATTTTTTGTTTAAATTGAGCATTTCAACAATTTTTTTACTTTTCTAATGTTCATAACTTTACATGTTACATTATTAAATGGTGGGCCATCTCTACCGTGCATCTCTCCCCTCCACCCCCTCCCCCACATCCCTCTAAATTGCAATAGCATTATGTTCCTTGTAACTATTTATTCAAAAAAGGCAATGTTCCCACAAAAAAAAGTGAATGAACTGTCCTAAAATGGCGTCCAAACATGGCGGACTGACGACTTAAATATACAAATCAAAATGTTAAATTGTATACGTTAAATAAAAAAATAAAGATATTCAGCAAAGTATTTTTGAATTAAGTTTTATTATCATAATTAGATCATTTTTACAATAGAGATCTTTTTAAACAATCTCTGTATAGAATAAAGGAAATTAAATTAAAAAATAAAATTTTTAATTTTTTTTGACAATTAAATTATTGCATTAATATTTGTTCATTAATACAATCAATATAATGTAACAAAAACGTTATTATAACACTATAACTAAGCCATTTATGAGTACTGAACAGTGTGGTAGAGGCCTGTACGCACCTATCCCAGTACCGCTTTTCTGCCACTTAAGTGCATTTTCTACGCAACTGCTTCAAATATTTTATTTCAGCACGTTTTGTGTTATTGTTGACCATTTAATTACAAACGACACTTAATTTTCAACTTGAAAATTTATTTGTTAAACAAATTTGCTTTACTGGTGTTTTTATTGCCTAAGCCAATTATTTAAAAAAAAAAAAAAAACTTCATGTTTTATTATTCTCTGACTATACAGCTTTAATGAAAGACCAACTATGACAAAATTAAGCCAAATGCTGATTCTCAGTGACTAAAACACTAATTAAAGTCAAAGTCATCAGTCCTCCATGTTTGAACACCTTTTTGAGGCAGTGCTTTCACTTTTCTTTGTTGGAACATTGGCTTTTTTTAAATAAATAGTTACAAGGAACACAACGATATGTAATTTATAGGTATGTGCAGGGAGGGGGAGTGCACGGTAGGAGGGTCTGGCCCACAGACTATATTATTTATATATCCATATACCCAAAACAATACTTTATTATATGTTAAAACTGTTCTTAATTTTTAAAAAGAAAAAAAATATTGAAGAACAAAAAACTAAAATAAAACAAACTAATAGGTACAAATATTTCATAAAGGTGCTGCCAGGAGCATTTATAATCACTATAAACAGTATAATTTAAAAATGATACCACACACAGTATGCATTTTGAGGTGGTTGTGGTTGCATATTCTGGGTGTAAGTCAGAGTGTGACCACTCCATGTAGATTCATGAACAGACCTCGTGTGTACCTGAGTTGGTATGGGGCTGCTGGAATTCCTTGTTGCGGCACTATTATTCCCTGAACATTAACAATAAAATTAATCAAATAAATAAAATTGAATTGATACAAAATATCAAATTGACGCTTGGTTAATAATAAACTGTTAAAAAAAGAAGAGAATAGATCTAATTGTTTCCTGCAAATAAAGAAATGTACTTCTCTACCATAGATTTTTATACTTATTAGCTAATACAGGAGGTGGGTTAATTTCATTGTCAACATTGGGCGTTACAACATATTGCTATGTAACATTCTTATAATATTTTAATAATGATTGTTATACAATTTAAAATTAGTCAGGAAAATAATTCTCTCTCAGGAAAGTAATTGTCTTGTTTACGTGCTTGGCTTAATTTACTGGTTAACTTTAAATATATAATATATTCAGGTAAATCCATCTTTTAGGTTTTTGGCAGAAAAAGATTTTAAGTTATCCATCTCAAGTCAATTATGACAAAATTGATTATAACTAAAAATAATTTTATAAACTGGTATAAAACTTGATTGGTGTCACTTATTAGTTGATCTGCCTATTATTAGAGAAGAAACAAGAGAACAAGTAGAAACTGTTGTAAATGGTAAAAAAATAATATGTTTTCATCTATACAGACAGAAATACTTCAAGGACATTAAAAAAATACCTACCAAAAGTGTCCTTTCATTTTATTTGATACTATCAATTGCAATAGAATGGCCAAAGAAGGCATACTTATTCACAATTTGGTAAGATAATAATTGCGATATGACAATATAATAATTCCAATGATGATATAAGTGCAAATATGACAAATCAAGATATGAAATATGAACAAGAATTTTTATGATAAATGGGTAAGTAAATAAAGCAGTTGCCATGATGAGAATAATTTAAACATGCCATGTGAAACATTATTTTATAAATAAAAGGACACATTGAAACTGATTTATGGAATAAAGTTTGTAAATTGCTTACCGGCTGGATTTTCAATAGTGCCCATCAGGGCTTGTGCCAGGTGTGCATAAAATTCTGGTTGAGTTGCAGAAGAATGTATAAGAGGAGACGAGGTATTGGTTCCCGAACTGCAAGCAGCTCCTGAATTACTGTTTACTGTAATATTAATTAGTTTTCCTTTTTTTAAAAAAAATTATTATTTTAAGCATTGACTCTAAAGAGCCATATTATGTTTATCTGATCAATAGGGACAGTTTTAATTGAAAGCTTACCAATAGTTCAATTACAATTTGACAAAACAATGGTCAACACTTGACAAATATCATAAATAGTTGTCAAGAAATGAAAGCTTAAATAACATTAGATCAGAAACTTACATTAGAAATATTGATTTTTTTTTTCAATAACAATAAAAAATATGTGTTTATTTAATGATTCTTAAACTTTATAAAACATAATAAAATTTTATTTTCATTCATTATTTAATCTTTAATTTGATTAAAAATATTTTTGACTAACACAATGCTATTCGACAAATGGGGATAGAAATAATGAATAATTAACATTTTGTTCACAAATTGATAAGAACATAAAGCAATGCTATATTCTATATATATGGTAAGAACATAATGCTGGTTTTCACTATTTATGTTAACCAACAATATAACAATTGAAATATGTCATCAGAATGGCTGCTCATATAAAGGTCAAGGAAAACAATTTAATTCATTTATTTATGCTTAGTGCTACGGTCCTTCAAGAATCTGGGCCTCTCTTATGATCTTCCTCCAATCTCCTCTATTCACTATCTTCAGATACCATTTTCAGGATATTCTCCACTTTAGGCATGGTCTTCCTCTACCACATTTTCCACCAGGCTGATCCTCAAGCAAGCATTTGGGAATCCCATCTCTGGACATATGATCCACATGACCCAATCATCTGATTTGATTATCCTTCACAATTGAGACCAAATCTAGCTTAGCATAGATCTTCCGCAGCTCATTATTAGTGTGAATTCTCCATTGTCCATGTTCATGAAACAGGCCATAGATTCTGCGGAGATCCTCTTCGCCCATGCGAAAATCCTTTCTTCTGAAGATTTAGAGATCACACAAGTCTCAGAACCATAGGTGATGACTTAATAGAATTTCTGTATTAAGGTATTTATTAGTTGTGATCAGAAATGTTGTAGATGAATTTCTTTGAGTAAAGTGTATATGGTAGCAGAATCTGATAGAATTATAATTTTTTTATTTTTATACAATTTTATAGTTAGCTAATTTGAAAGCTTCAGTAACAGAGTATAATTCAGTACTGTTGATGCTGAATTTTATGGGAAGGTTTATGAAAAAAAATTTTTTTATCCATACATACAGTCCATATTCACTAGCACATGTAAACACTACTCCATTAAAATTGTAAGCTATGAAAAAATACAACAAATAAATACACAGGAATATGCATATCATAAAATAAACTTGTCATTATCTATTGTCCAGAGGCTGATTGAAACAATGGTTAGGTAGGCAGTCCACAGATACCAGGAGACAGAATAGGGACAGGGTTAGGGTACTAGAGACTCTGATTTCAAGATTAAAAAAGAATTAGAAGCATTTTATTTTTGTTTAAAAAAGTGTTCAGATGCTTTATTTTACATTTACATTTTTTAAATTCAATTTTCATAGTTTTTTCCCTTTATTTGTGGTCTTGTACAAGCATAATATGCCACACTATTTGAGGTAAAAAAATTCTATTTTTGTCGGGAAAGTAACAATGACAAAATTTAACATGAGCCAGTTTTTATGACTACCAGTGTAGATATAGAGATAATACATAGCATAAAAAATTAAATAAATCAACACTTACTTTGTATATTTCTTTTTGGTGAGCCCGGTTGGGTCCATGTGGACTTTGGTTGTTCCACCATTTCCTTAAGTGGTTGTCTCCCTTCCGGCTTATTATTAGCATAACTTACTTCTTTATCGCAAACAACTACTGGTGCTATATTATTCCCATCAATATAAAATAAAAGAATTAGTAATGAGTTTTTAAAAATTAAATTAAAAATAATAAACAATACCGAAGGCCTAAAACAAATATAATCAAACACTTTAGATTTCTAATAAAAAATAAATAATATTACTCAATAACTACTAGTAAAATATAAAAAAAACAAAAAAACAATAGGTTCAACAACTATTGAAAAACCTAGGAAACAAGAGACAAGACTTACTGAATCAGTGAACATTATTCATCCAGGGACAGGTATAATCATTATTAATATTAATATCAATTAATTATACAATTATCCTCATTACAGGCCTCTTTTTAATTTTCAAACAATATTTAATAATTTTTTTTATTACAAAACTATTCTTAAATATTAAACAATTAGGAACTAAGAAAATACCCAATTATTAAGGATCACAAGAATGGGATACAATTGCTAGGGAACAGAGCCATGGAGAGAAACCAATGTCACTAGGGTCAAATATTAAATTCAATACTGTAACCCAACCTCTTCCTATGTAATGTATGAAACAAAAATATTATGAAAACATATTGCATAATTAGTATATAATATATGTAATATTTCCTATAAAAAAAAACCTGCAAATAAAAAATAAATCCTGGTATGCCAGAACAGGTCTTTGAAATCCCAGCCACGGGCAAGGGGCTGCAGCCCCATTTGCCATTCTCCCTGCCAGGGATGCCCATTCCCCCCAAGGTCTATGGCGCAAGAACCTAACCCACTCTCTTCGCAAGATATTTTATTATACACCTTTTCTTAATAACAGAGCAAGCTAAGGTAGAATTAGAAAAATCGTAGATCATGTACAATTACACTAGCTGAGGTATGTTCCATGTTTTTTCCTTGTACCTTAGTCCGAAAATTCATAACCCCATCAAAATTTACTTTCCTCAAAAATCCGACAAAATATGGCCCCCTCAAAAATTTTGATGGCTCAACTTATGCCATGAAACCCCGTACTGGGCACCCCTTGCCTCCTCCTGTAGGCCTGCTTGTTAAGTTCAATGTTGTTAAAAGAAAAAGATGATTTTCTAAATTTAAGTTTTTCATATAGAGGATGTTCTTGTTTTTATATTAGTCTCTTGAAATATTAAAAACTAATTGACACTGTCAATCAATTTTATATAAATTTGTTATTAATATTTATTGTTATTTTTTTTTTTTTTATCCCTCCTCTCTTGCTGAGAACTTGAAGTATATGAATGAGTATTATTTAGTATGTATAAAAAGAGAGTACTTAATAATCTATCATGTTGTATTACTAAATTATATATTGTTTGATAATCTTATATTATTATCAGATTTAAATATATCATTTTTTACTAAACATATAATTTTTTCTGGCATTACAACAAAAATAACATCAGATAAAACTAGAATGTTCACTGTGTTAATGGTTGCAGATGTAATTATTAAGGCCTATAGCATGAAGCACTCCTAGTGGTAATCTCATTGAAACTCAATCACAAAACAGCATTAATTAAATAAATATTTGAAAATATAATCTAGGCAACATTGATCCAGAAAAAATTAAAAATATTGTACTACATAAGCAGTAATAACATCAGGCAGATTATTGATATCAGTTATAAGCAGGTGATAAGATGACAAAGGGCAAGTAAATAGATGTAACTGCTTGTAAGACAATTAAACTAGCTTAACCTTCATTCTCACCATATTACTTTAACTAAATATTTGTTTTTAATACTGATAAAGTACAAAGAATAAAAAAATCTTTAAACAGATACCTTGAACAGGTTGGGGAAGAAACGTAATAGGTGGTAGAACAGGGCGTTTGTGTTGTACATTAATTACATCGATTTCAATTGAATCTGGGTCTTCACAGTCATCTTTTGCTGGTTGACTAGGTCCTGGCTGCAGATTTAAACGTGTAAAATCTAGCAACATATGGGTAATTTGTAATAAAATGTTTGCACTGAACATTAAAATTAGTAATGAATAGTCGAGCAAGTACAACATGTTCACAATGTAAAAAAATTATACTTGAGTTCCTAGATTAGGCTTAAATGTTTTAACCAGAAAACATGTTCCAAAGAAATTTAATTTATTTTAAAATAAGTTTTAACAAGATTAGTCCTGATAATTTACGATTCAGCTAGTTGTTATCAAGATAACAGATTCCCTACAATAAGTAAATAAATAATCATATTGTAATATTTATTTTTCACAATTATTAAAATCTACATTTAGTTTAGATGTAATACAAGCAGCAATAAACTATAATTATATAAATCATTTCAAATATGAAACCTAGAAACTTAAATTAAATTTTTAAAAACAATCAACAAATAGTAACTGCTTACAAATCAGAAGACACAATGTCACATTTTATACAAAAATTCAATTCATTTGCAATTTACATTTAAACAATTTAACCATTTATAAAAGTAATTTATTACAAGAATATATACAAATACACATCCACACAAAAATTCATTTTACAATAAACCAGGCATACTTACCTATTGGGGGCCCAATTACTCTTTCATAGTGATAGGGGTTGACGCAGATAGAATCACATCTGAGATCAAATGCAAAAAGACAAAATTTATTATGTTTCATTTCACTTTTATGAAGGTCTGGCCATCGCCAGATCTTGGCATATATCACATGAGGAAAACCTTTCTTGCCTGATATCTGAAAACATTAACATTTTTTTTTTTTAGATATCATAACATATAAGAAACATAATGTTCAGTAGCCTTACTAACCTGAAGTCTACCATCTAATGTTCTCTGAATTGTAACACATTTAGTAGCTTGAGAACCACTTGTGGTAATAGCTGTAATCAAGTTGTCAAGTTCTTCTCTTTTTTCCTATATATTATTTTGAAAAGTTTTATTGAAAAGAATTTCCAATGCTATGACTTGAAACCTGGTATTCAAATTAGAAGCAAGAGGATTAAGTTACCTTCAGTTTTTTTACTAAACTTTCAATGGCTTTTTTTGCAAATCTTTCTGATTCTCCACCTTGTCTATGACACATAAGACAGTGGATAATGTTTAAACAAGCATCCTCTGATGTAGGTGTTTTGGAATTTGTGGCAGACATTTCGTTTTGTAACATGAAGGGCAGCACCAGACAAGAGACTACATGTTATAACACCACTACAATCTATAGCATCTCACTCCTCCCCACTCTGGAGAAAAAAATAAATATGAAAGCTCATTTGGTCAAAGAGCATTTTCCCAGTATTCTGCATTGTTTTGGCCCACTGTGTTATGGACAAGGGCGGATCTACGGTTGGAAGGGGAGGCTTTGGGGCTGAAGCCCCCCCAAAATGGTAAAATACAACCATGTTTTATGGAAAAAAATATTAAAAAATTATATCTTCAAGTATTATTTTTCGTGTTAATTATTACATTTAAAAGGACTTTAGGAATCACTTAAACACCATTTCATATAGGTAGTTAGTTTGTTTCTTTTTTTTCAAAGTAATTATCGTTATTTTTATGAAAAAAAAAAAAAGCTTTCGGGATGAAGAACCCTCAAAATTAAATCCTGGGCCCGCTAGAGTGTTTATGACCATTCCAGTGTTTATTTAAAATTTAAAAATATATAAATATTTTCTGTCTTATACTTAGATTTAGACTTTTTACTTTCAGTTACCTGTATAAAAAATATAGTAAGAGAAAGCATTGCGATCTTGAACAATTTCTAATCCAAGTTCGCAACGGAAATAGGTGTTTAAGGGTTCTCTGATTGGCAAATACTCTTTTTGGACATGTGATGTAAACAACCTAGCTAAAAAAAGAAAGTTGTTCGAAACTTGAATTACGTATTTGTTATATTTATGCCAACCATCTTCATAGCAAATTTTACGATAAATTCGACTTACCGGAAGTGCCAATTTAAATCATTGATTTTACACTTTTTTTTTTCTAAAACAATGTGATGATTTTAGTTGAACACGTTAAATAAATTTAAAATTAGATTATCATTAATGTCAGGCAGATATCATCCACATTAAATGACTATTGCTCTAGTTTTTGTCTGACCAGGACACCATTGCCCTGATGATGACCCACATGCTTGGTTGGATTATAAACGTTGGCAAGCTTAATAAATACAAATTATTTTTATATCCTGACTTCTAAATATTATCCCTCTAATGAAGAACAGTTGTTGAGAGTTAGTAAAAACGCATAGATAATACATTTAATAGGTTATTATCGTATTTCCGTTCGCAATAATAATTCATTCGGTCATTGACCATTTCTTTTGTTATTTTGCCTTCTATCCCCCCATTTTTTCATTCTCATTAATTCTGAACAATACCTGTTACTGTAACTCATTTTCAATGGCTACTTAAAAGTTATAAAAATTACTTGAGAAATAATATGGGTTCATCTATATAAAGCTATCTGAGTTAGACAACAGAAAGTGTAAGAGTCCGAAAGTTAAATATCATAAAATTGATGGGAAGTTTTTGAATATATAGACTCCAAGAGGATGGATAAATAAGAACTGGCTAACTTCGTACTTCAATATTCAATTGAAGTTAATTAAAACTTTCACCTTTCTTAATATTAAAAAGTGAATCATTATTTTATTTAACTTGTCAACTATTTTTATTTGATTTACGTTACCCTTAAGTTTGTTTTTATTTTCAACATCACAAGGTATTTTTTAAAGAATTGTTTAAGATAAAATAATATCAGATCATTTCAATCTGATTTATAGTTAAATTTTATAACATTTATTTACTGTTTGCAAACAGCTGTTGTATTGAAGAACTATTTATCTTTAATCTCAAACATTATGGATCAGTCATCTAAACAGATAATGAAGGATTATAGTGTAGAATTAAAGAGAAATAAACATCGCCATTGTATCTTTTTTATGTATTGTATAATGTAAATTTCTTCTGAAGTATTCTCTATGTTCGTCTAAGATACATACACATAGATGAAAAATTGATTCATTTTTTATTAAATAAACCATACAATTCTGTAATAAACCAAACAGATAAATTTTTTGCTATAAGCCTATAATAATATTCCAAAGTTGCCAATTGAGTTTGTAAAACAAGGATTTTTTTTTAAAATCTCAAAACCATGAATTATCCAAATATTTTTCAATTTTTATTTTATAATAAATCATAGAAAAGTAAATTACCTACTGTTTTGATGTGAATAATTTATGGTTAGGACAAGTCCAAATTTAAAGATCCCAATTTCACAGGCGCAGACTTTGGAGGGCAATCGTCCCTCCCACACCAATAAAAATACAGAGTGGAGGAGAGCATCATTTCGCACCCTCCTCCCAATATTTCGAAGAATCAAAATCAATAACAATTAACCTACATAAATTAATTCAACTGTAGAAGTACAGCAATAGCAAACAGATCCCTGGCTGTTACCAATTCCAAAAATAAATAAAGTACAATGTAACAAGGCCCTTGCTTCAAAGTTAGGATTAGCAGAGTTCAGGGACTTCCAAATGAAACATTGTGATTGGAAATATCTTTTCACAGATAGGTCAAAAACTCAAGATGGAGTCAGTGCAGCCACTGTTTCTGACAATGTGCAAATATTCTCATTACTCCCTATTGCTCTTCCTACCGTGCAGAACTGTTTGCAATAAACCCTGCCGTTTGTAGTCTCAACTGCAATAAACAGTAAATTTATATTTCTACAGATTCAGAATCTGCTCTTAAAAATCCATTTTCAACTAACTCATTAGTCACAGACACAAGCATATAAAAACATTGGAGGGTGTAGGATGTAAGATTCATTTTTTGTGGTTACTGGGTCACTCAGGTATTAGAGGTAATGAGCTAGCCGATATCATGGCAAAACAAGCAATCAAGGAAGGAACTCCAGTAGGGATGCTTTTCCAAAAGAAATAGTAGCTTTGGTAAAGAGAAAGGCTCTGGAGAAATGGCAGGGTCTCTGGTATGTTTTAAGAGACAATAAGTTGAGAGTGATCGAGCCCTCTGTAGTTTCCAATCGAGCGGACCTATAGTTAAATAGAAGAGAAGAAATAATACTGGCAAGGCTCCAAATCAGCCACTCACAGCTAACTCATGAGCACCTAATGACAAAGGGGACACCTTCTCAGAGTCTCTGCTGCGGGGTCAATTTAATAGGCAGGCACATTTTGACTGAATGTTATGCATATGAAACACAATGGAATGAAGTTGAATTGGAGAATGATATAACTGAAGTTTAAAAAAAAAACACCAAATTGGCAAAAATGTTGTTTACATTTCTTCAAACATTGCACCTATACAACAAAATTTCAATTTTACACTCTTTTTTTTTTTAAATTGGAATGTTTTAAATATTTTGTGCTTTCAATTTATTGTTAAATTTCATCTGATGTAATTTAAATATTATGTAAGGGATAAAAGCCCGAAAGAGGACCCGTAAGAGGTTGAGGAGCCCCCATTGTTATAAATAAATAAATAAACATTATTTTCAAATATATCATACATAAAAAAAAATATAATATGTAAATTTATTAATTGTTCATTTTAACATCATTCTATTGATTATGTTAATTATTATTCATAATTTTTATAAATAATATAAACTCTTGACTTTTTTGGTGATCCATCGTCCTCGCCCTCCTCCATCCAAAACGGAAAGTCTGTGCCTATGCCATATTTAGTATCCATTGAAGTGGACTATGTTTGTCTCATAATTTTGATACATTGTGGTTTTCATGCTTACTTAGTTAATGGCGCTACAGCCCAATCTAATTAGTGGTGATTTGGTGGCATTGAACCTTCGGGTTTCCTAAGCTTTTATTACTTTTTTTTTATTCATGAAATTTACAACTGTATTAAATAAAAATATACTTTGTAAATGAGAAGATGAAAATGTAATGTCATGAATATGGTTTTAGAGAAAGCATCCATTGGTAGTACTCTATTATTTCTACGTCACAAGGCCGCAAGGGGGTTTCATGGCGCAAGTTGCGCCAACACAATTTTTGAGGGAGGCACATTTTGACGGAATTTGGAATTTTTGATAGGGGCACATTTTCATAGTTATGAATTTTCGGTTTGAATAGTTTCAAACAAAGAGACAAGGGGAATACCTGGAACAAACAAATTTATCTGTCATTCCAACCTTCAAACTTGTTCAAGTAGATACAAAAGGTGAAGAATGATATTAAGAGCATTAACATATGGATGTCGAACATTAAATTGTTCCTAACAGAGAAAACAATTTTTTATTTAAGGTAACTCCTTATCTTTTTCAATATTCCTTTCCTCACTTTGATAACCTTCTCAGTCATTTTCATACTCATCAAATGGTGGAATAAGTGTTGAACTAATTAGCCCATGGTGACTTAGTCAACCTTTTGCAATTGATGAAATATACGATATGTAATTCTTTCAACCATTAAAAAAAGGATCACAAGAATACGATATTTAGAAGTGATACATTTTCTTTGAAGGACAAAACTGAATTTCCCCATTAGATTTATTCATCTTAGAATTGGTCAAAACTGCTTTGTAAATAGGTAATTCATTCTTATAGTAGCCAAGCATATCCCCCCCCAGGAAGAGCCTAGCTTGTAAAAGTAAATGAAATAAAAGTCAAAAGAGATTTAACATTGAATTTTTAAAGTATCATAAACTGTGTGCTAGGCTTAAAAAGAAAAGAACTTTGATTGCTCATTGTAAAACTAACAAGCTGCTGCAGACTTATAAAACATTTAAAATAGTGGGAGGGTAAATAACTTTTAAATAGAATCCAGAAATTTAGCCAGTACAAGTATCAGTAGTATATTAATGATACTACACATTGAAATTTTTTTTTTTCTTCTTACGCCTCTTGGCTTCCTCCATGAGTCTTCTAGCAGTTTTGGGGCTATTACAGACAGCTGTGATCGTTTGGTTCTGTAGATGATGTCCAGGGAGCATAGTTATCACATGGTTTTAAGGGATATGATTATTAGCCATAACCTCCAACCTGGAGGACCAGAAGCTATAGAGTATGACACAGGGGTCACTCACCTCCCTCTGAATCACTGGATGGGGATGTTATCGTCACCATACCTGAATTAAACTCGTGAACGGGATTTAAACTCATGAAATAAAATTTTTACAGGGATTAACTCGCTTGACCACTGCAGCCTTTATTAGCATTAAAATGCATGGAAGCATGATTTCTTTTCAAAATTTTTAGAGAAAATTGTGCAGTAAATTATATCAATACATTTAAAAATATCTTATTAAAGATATTGTTAAATAGATGAAATATCAAGATAGTATAGAAGTAAGAATGAAGATAAAGTTAACAGTTCTCAGGAATGGTGAATATCCCATTCCAACCATGATTCAATAATCAGTTTTTTGGTGGTACCACATAATATATCTAAGCATTTCAGACTTTGTTCTATCAGAGAGGCAAACTATAAATTTGGAACAAAACTGCTATGTGGGCAGTGCCAACCAACACTTAAGTTTTTCAGACAAATATCTTGTCTATAGAAAATTATTAAAAACAATATAATAAAATTAAAGGGGTCACACAAGAAATATTTGATTATGTTTAAAGAAGTACTTCATATATATTTTGTTAAAATATTTATTTAATTGAACAAATGTTTCCATTTACAATAGAAAAATGACATCTGAAAAGATGCATTATGGTATTGTATTTTTCAAGAATAATAAAATAGAAAACAAATTAATTTAATTTTTAATTTTTTATTTTATAAAAGAAGTATCAAAGAGAGCAAATCATATGACAGACTAATCATCAAAATATAAGTAAAAGGTTTATTTGTAGTTTAGCTATATTAAAAGAAAATAAAGAATCAATTAAATATAGCTGTTCTTTGAAATTACAACAATGCTTTGTACAATTTACAGATCTTAAACGATGAGATCAAGATTTTACTTACACTACAAAATTATAAACCTTAATATAAACAAGTTTACATGTTTATATACATAATTTTTATATACATGCATCATGAACTTTTATGACAAATAATAATTACTGATACTTAAGAAATTATCAGAAACACAAATAGCTTTTAAAAGCTAAATAAAATCTAAAAGGTTTACAATAACCATAAAATTAATGAACAATTTTCGCTCAATGAGATATATTTCATAAATCAAGTATCCAAATTAAACATACGTCAAGGCAGTAATTCAAATCAAGAAGTTTAATTAACCATGATTCAATTCTATATTCTTATACTTGATAAGAAATTTTAAATTAAATGTTCATGATTTAATGAAAGGAATCTAATAGTTTTTCTTCCTTCAATTTTTTTTTTTTTCAACTATCATATATAGATAAAATCGATACAATTGTTAACTGCTTGACTTATTTACAATAAACTTATCTAATTCTATAGCCTTTTTCATATGGATGCAAGACCTGCCATTAAAAATGCAGCTGACTTGTATTCTTTAGCATCCTAAGAGACAAAATATCATTAGTCAATAAACACTGTAAAAATAAGAAATATTTCGTCATAAATTACTACTAAAATATGTTTATTCCATGGTGATTACACAAGAAATGATTGAAACACTAAAATAAAATAAGCTACATTAGAGTAGCTTCCAAAAAAACACTATCTGGGTATTCCACATAAGTGCCTATTTCAATTAAATAAAAAATACTGACATGTACACACATTTTTAATAACATATAGCATTCAAATTTAAGAAGTACTTCATAATTAGAAGTAGCATTTTTCCTATTAATAAATTTTTTAGAAAATTTTCTGATTAGCCATCTAACCTAGGCATGCATAATTGTAAGAACTATCACTAGGGTATAACTTAAGTCATATATTTTTGGTATTTTGACAAAGTATAAATTAATTCAAATTTCCTGTTCCAGTTGGATTACTCAAATTGTTTTATTTTCATAAGAAATGTTTTGTTTTTTTGAGGTTTTGTTTTGAGTTGTGGTTGATACAAGTTTTGTGATTAAATAAATTTATCAAAATTTGGTGTTAATTATTTAAAAAGATAAAAGTGGCACTGCAGATATATAGAGTGTCCCGTAAGTAGAGGGAAATATTTAAAAGGTAGATAGTAGACATCAAGATATACAAAAAAGTTCATATAAACAATTGTCCAATTCCCAGCAGAAAAGTGGGAAATTTAAGATTTCTGTTTTTTAAGCTAGTCACATTTTGTATTGAATAGGAAGCGATAACTAAAAAAATATTTGATTTAAGTAATTAAAAATTGCTCCATAGTAAACTAGGCAAATTTTAATGCAAAATAAAGTAGATTTTGTTATTGTTAAAACCATTTAAAGAGGATTGTTGAGCAGACAAACTCAGCTAAGTTCCCGTTTAAAAAAAAAGTAATAAATTATCTGTGATTTTATTTTTTTTTATCATCCTTTAACTGCACTACAGTTAACCCAATTTTAGGTAAACTTCCACATTTAATTAGCTTTAAGTACATATTAATGAAGTTGAGGTTTATTTGGAAAAAATTTGTTATTCACCTCAAGTTGTGTAAAGAAATGATAAGATTTTCTATCCAGTTACCTAAAAGTAGCGGTATTTTCAGCAAAAATGACTACAATTAACAGTTACAAAGCTTCTATTTCTTGTTTTTTTTTGTGATATGGAATGCATTGTAATAAACATAATTGCCTAAAAATCGCATTTTATTCATACAAATTAAAAATAACTATTTTTCATGTATATTTTTAAATATTTCCATCTACTTATGGGACAGCCTGTATAACGAAAAATATATATGCCTCAAAAAAGGAATGTAAACATGCTAGACACAGAAGACGAAGCAGAAAACAGAAATTTTTAACAATTTAATTTTTCACTGAAAATGTATTGCAAAAGTTAATTTTCCAGAAGAAAAAAAAAAACTGGGAATATTAGGAAGAACGGCTTAAACTTGAATACGTTTGTACAGTCACATCACTCTAGAGTCAAAGAGATCTCCTGCTGGCCAATGTAGGCCCGAAGTCTTTCAAAATACTGTTCGATCATTTCATGCCAAATGAGGTGAGTGAAATTTTTTTAACATGTTATAGGTGAATAAAGTGAGCCTGTTCAATCCAAATTTAAGTTTAGTGAAACTGTAAGAAAAATAATTTTCACTTGAAAGGTGATTGATAAACATTGCAAGGTATATCATTTAAAACTGGAAGAAACGGATCCCAGAGAGGTTTTGCAATCTCTATACAGAAGTTCCACTGTTAACTCATTTAGATGGATAATAAAATATACGTTATACCTGATATCTAAAGGTAAGATTCCTCCTATTCTTGAATACCTCAATAATGAGGAAGTAGAAATAATCATCAAGTAGAAACCTTGTATGGTCTGTCAAGGTTAAGGAAGGCCTTCAAGAGTATTTCCAATTCTTGAATATAATACTCTAAAACATTCATATATATATAATAAAATATGTAAAATGTATAAGAAAGAAAAGATAAATTTCTTTAGAAGAGTTTTCACAATGTCCTATAATAAGTCTCAAGTCTATAACTTCAACTGTATCCTTCACTTCATTCAATCTAAATTTCAAAACAACCTTATGTGAGTATAGCAAGAAAATTTTTATCATATGCCTAAATAATGCATTGTATTAATAAAATACCAAAAATTAACTTAACTATTTATATTGAATACTTAATAGTTGACCATTGTATTATTAATAATGAAAACTATTTTAATAAAATAGTTTTGCCACTATTTAGTCTATTTATGACTGCCACTGCGGACCATCTCCTTCCTTAACTATTTATAACTTGTAAATACTACAATGTATTAGAACTATTTATTTATTTTTAAAAATTAGAATTATAGCAAAAATAACGTTTTTATCTCTAAAGATTAAAAAATTAATTTTTACAATTTATTATAAAATCATTATTGTCTAAATTTTTATAAAGATGAAAGAGAGCAAATGTTATATAGATTTAGCTAGAAATACTTGCCTTTTCACCTACGAATTATTACATACCAAACAATTTTTAAAAGTAGGTTAAAATTTTGAAATAATTGTTATCAGAAACATATGGAAGCATAATAGTGTACCGATTGAGCTATTTGTTGTTCCAGCTTTGAAAAGGATCCCATTGATAACTTATAAAAAGAAAAATAATGGGATTGAAACGTCAATAAACACAGAGGAAATGAACATTTAGTAGTTTATTATATAATTAATAAATGACCTTATTCCCAATTAAATGGTTATGTTTAAATATAAGTTTATATATATATATATAAAAGTTGATTGTCCATAGTGATTATATAATTGCATATGCTGTGTATTTATATAATTGGGTAACACTCTTTTATATGAAAATGAAAATAAAGTCTTTGCCGTATGATACCAATTATGATTTTAAATTGTAGTAAGAAAAAATAAAGATCATTATTGAATTATGCATAAATATTGTTGTTTATATCTTATCCATTTTCTTAATTTTATTACTTACGGCTAAAAGAATAAAATATGAGATGTTCAGATATACCGATGTTATAAATGTATTTAAAGTCAAATCCAGGAATTATCATTTCAATTTTCTATTTTACTCTATTCCTCGAGGTCCGTCAATGGGCATAGTATGAAGAACTTCATCCAATAATTGTAGTGCTCGGTGCAAATGAACCTATAAAAAAAAAAATGGTTTAAATTTAGTATAGATGGAATTATTAGCATAATTTTACAATTACCAATTTCATTTTGTCCATGAATTAAATGATACTTAAAAGCCAATCGGAAGTTGCTACCAGACAATTAAATTAAAATTAAAGACTTTAACAATAAATATTTCATTTAAAATGATTTAGAGGTGCTATAACAATAGTTAAGTAACATTCTTTCTAAATTAAACTTTACCTAGCTTTAAAATAATGAGATAGTATCATTTCAGGATTGACTATTATATACCAATTAAATAAATTCATCTAAAACAGAAAAAAAATCTGTTCTCACTTCATCATAACGGGTAATTACTCACTTCAATCCAGCATGGAGTAGCTTTTATTGAGCTTCGGGGGTAATCAGGGCCCCATCCTTTAATGAAACTTAAACGTAAAATGCACAGCCTTCTCAAGTCATCAACTCCAATGCAAGCAGCAGAGCTTAAACCTATGACATAAAATTAGTATAATGATGTAGAATTTTATTAAATGAACTAAGCAATACAGTGATTGTTAAATTAAAAGTTTAATTTGATTGTTCATCACTGAAATAGAAGCAAGTTATGTAAAAATTAAAGACTTTTAGTTTTCAATCAGTTTAGCAAAAAATAACAACACTTGTTAATATTATCATATGGAATGCTTATAAATTTTCATGTATTTTAATATCGTAATCACCTCAAATATCGTAACGTAACCTTCCATTAAATTCTTATTATTTCAATGTTTCATTATTTACATAATGATGAATACAAAAAGATACAAGTTTGATTTAGTATAATCACTTTCAGGATGTCGGTAGTCCTCCAGAGGTTCGGTATATGGAAATTTTAATTCCAGGGAAATTAATATAGATCCTCATATACCTTCTGAATCTGAACAGCTATAATCAATGGACCTAGACCAATTTGTCACTGTCTTTGAACCCAACAGAGTAGGTGATAAGGATACTCACAGATTGGTCGTAAAGGGATCCACTATGGAGCTATGGATGTCCTGTTGCTGCACCATGGGGACCATGGTCTGTGGCAACATAAGGTTGAATGACCCCCTCAAAGCTATTTGTGCTCTTATAGCTTGCAAGCAATAAATAAATATATATAAGTAATAGATGTCTATAAGAAAACTACATTGCATGGCCAAATATCTAAATGGTCTATAGTGCCAAATAAAAAAAGTTTATATGTAGTTCACTTCAAACTTAATAGGATATCCACTGATAATGGATAAGAAATTTTAGCCCTCTCCTGCCAAAAAATTTATAGATTTGGTATATACGTGAAATAATTAATTAAAACTGGGGAATTTAGTAATTAATCGATGGTTAAGTTGCTTTCTGAGTCAACAATGGACTGATGCCTAACATAAGATAATGGTTTGAACAAGTCATACATATATAGATATTGATATAGGATATAGGAATTGATTATGACCTTTATTGTTTTAGTTTTTTATTTTATTCTTAAAATAGTGAACTATTGCAAAGCTGATTATCTTAATTACCTAACATCACAACCATTAACTAGTGTTTATTTAAATCATTTTATTTGTTTGAAATATGATATAGATGAGGGATTCAAGAATATAGTTTTAGTGTAACAAACCTATTTCTGTAATTTTATTCGCCCTGATTAAGTTAAACAAAAAAAAAAAAAAACCTGCATACATATTTTTTGTATAGCCTGTATTTACAAGTATTACACCTGTAGGCCTCCCCAATTAAGAGGGTAATGGTCTAACTTCCCGCGAGGAACAGCCGTATTTGGAAGTAGGGCCGGGATTCAATCCTATGATCTTTGCTTTACTAGTATAGGGCGCTAACCACTCTGCTATACCGGCCCCGCATGTATATTAAAACTTATCAAACCTGAAATATTAATTTTGATACAAACACTAAACTAAGATTTTCAAATAAAGGATTGTATCAAAAGAAGAAGAAATGAACTAACTTATTGCAGGAGCAATTCCACCGACACTATGTGGTCCTGGAATGTGGCCAGCAACTGCCGCTGCTTGAGCTGCTGCAGCCGCTTGTGCAGTAGCTGCTTGGTGTTGCATTTGTGTATGACACTGCCTCAAATCAAAAACCTAGTGAAAATAAATATCAAATAATTACAAATTAGAATGAAATAAACCAATGAGATATATAATACATTATAACTATGATATAAATCAGCAATGAGCTGAGAGAAATGCAAAATCTACATATCAATATTCATTTGAAAATAGACTTTATGGCAGAAAGTCTTTTGACGTCATTTCTCAAATCACTTAGGAATTTTTTCTTTTTTTTTTTAATTTAAAATATGATTGTATTTGAGCTTCATGTCGAAAAAAAAAAAAATTAACTTTACAGTAAATTTTCACTATTATAAATGTCCTTGAGAGAGTTTGTAATATTTTTTAATAAATAAGTTAAAAAAAATAATAATAAATTTTAAATAAAACTAATATTCTATCAACTGCTCAAATAAACAAACAATACTAAAATAAAACTGACTTTGATATAAGCAGATGGGTAAATTTTGTGAACAGCATCCCCAGGTGATCTTCCTGCCTCCCGATCAAGGTAGTAGGACTGAACAAAGACAGAATGATCAGAGAGACACCTCAGCCACACGTCTCCTTCTCCCCTCAAATCGAGTTGAACACCTTTACCGATGTGCAACCTGTAAAGTTAAGGTAACTTTAAATTTAACATTTTTAATATACATGTATTCATAGGCCATATGAATGGGGGATTTAGAGTTGTGTCCCAAAGTTAGTTTTTTTGTTTCTAATAGTCCAAGTGATGTGACTATATAAAGGTTATTGCCTCTCCATCAATACATTCACACTAATAAGTAATCCATAACCAAATGAAATAATAATTCAAATTACCTAGTCCGTTCACTCTGCTCTGTACGATGCACATTACTAAGTGCTCCAAGGCAAAACCTATTTGCTCCTTCAGGATCAACATAGCCGTCAACAGTAACACAAGGTGAAGTAGAGGAAACTTTGAAAGTCTCCCCTACCTGTGTATCAAGTTCAAAGTAAGCTATGGAACACCAATGCTCGGGAGCTGGTTGACTTGAAAGTAAACCTCCGATTGCCATTTCAGATCCTACTCCATGATTCCCTAAATATAACAAATAAATATATATCAACTAATGACTGTTAAATAAATTTATTTTATTATATAAACAGAGAGATACTTCATATTAATTAAAACTTATAGAATATCATTTAAGAGATCCTTAACCAAGTTTCTCCAAACATTCTCATTTTGTCTTAGAAAATTGCTTCAATTCAACAATTAACTTAATTCATAATTTTTCACAGTATAACTCTTTTTTTCATAAACCTGATTAAGAGTTCGCAACTAGAAGCAATCTAACTTTCTGATGAAATGTTGCCCCCGGATACTCAAACTTACCTGTTCTTTACTTAGTCAGAAATAAGAAAAAAAATTAATTTATGTTAGAAAAAAAAATACTTCACCTGGAAGAATCGATCTGTTAATATATAATAATCAGTTCTTTGGTCTCTAGTCCGGTTCAATAAGAAAATACTACTCTGAATAAAAACTATTCAAATATTGAATTAAAATACTCGTATATTCTGGCTGAGTACCAAAGTATTCAATCACTACTCCAGCTGATTTTGATTGAAACAACATATATTTTTTTATTGTATTTTTTTAACTATATGGAATAACTGTTAAAGAATGAATATATATAGATATTGTTAATAAGTATTTCTTACTGTCCCAGAGGGTGATACTTGTATCAATGAATAAAATCTGGCAATTAAGACTAATTTAACCTTACTTTCTTATCTTACTATTACTATGTCCTCATTATAAGATCCTTCTAGTGGGCAAAATTCTAATTTATGATTACAGTGAACAGTATAATAGGAATATCTGAGTGCTTACAGTATGTATTTTGAAGAGGTTGATGTGGTGGTGGTTGCATACTTTGAGTATAAGTAAGAGTGTAACCGCTCCACGTTTGTTGCTGAGTAGGATTCGTATAACCTTCACTTTGTGTCGGTGCTGGGCTTTTAGAATTTGTGCTTTGTACATTTGCACTATCATTCACTGAAAAAAAAAAAAAAATGCTTATTGAGAAATAAAGCTAAGCAATCAACCTGTAGTTTCAACAAGATAAGGAAGAATTTCGGGCTGGCCACTAAACATACATAACATATAAGAAGTACAAGAAAAAGACTAATCTAAAGCGCCCACTACAAAAAAGAGAACTCCATTTTAATTTTTTTTTTACTAATATATCCTAAAAAGTCAATTGACACAGCAAAAGACAAAGTTATAAAGAAGCCAGATAAACACAACAGAATTTATTTTATCAATGGAAAATGTTTTACAAGGATTTTTGTAATTTTGTTGATAAATTTCATAATTTGACGTTACCCTTTTTTTTTTTTATTAAATGTACACAAAAGTTTTTTTTTATGCACTTGATAATCCAATCAGATTATACTGCATTTTTTGCAACAATTACATACTAACTAGTGACCAATAATGACCTTCATTGTTCGAAAATATATTTTATGAAAAAAGAAGTACTGTATTAAAGGAAGTAAAATTAAGCCAATATTTATTAAAAGAGGTTATATCCAGTTGGCCATAGAACATATTGGGCTTGATCATATCTTAGCTAAAATTAAATTTTTCAATCCAATATGAAGCAGTTACAGATAAATATACAATTCATTAATTCGGCACTAGACCCCTAATTATTAAATTAAACTAATGAGAGTACAAATTAAAAAAAAAAACTTTTACATTATATTTTTGTGAGATATTTAATTCAACCATTCTAGCAAAGATACATTGTATAACAGTAATTATTATCATTATACTGCTAGGGAAAATAGAACTTAAAATCTTTAAAAAATGTTTATTTAAGAACTTGTATAAAAAAAAATACAATATCTTAATCTAGTTATAAAAATATCACATAACAATACTTACCGATTGGACTTCCAGGAGTATCTATAGAGGATTGCGACATAGGTGAATAAAATGCTGACTGGGCCGTCGGAGGTTCGGTGGGAGATACGAGAGCAGGAGCAGTGCTCGTCACCAAAGTGCTACCACCTCCTGAATTATTGTTTCCTATAATAATAAATAATTCCATACCTTTAAAATATAAATAGGTGCAAAAAACAATCATTAAGAGGACAATAAAAAGTCTTCCAATATTCATAAAAGAATAAAATATATTAATACAAAAAAAAAATCTTGTTCTGGGAGTTAGTTAAATATTTACTGTTTCCTAGAATCTACTAAAAAAGTAAATTGTGATCATGGTAAAAGCATTACGCTATGTCAGAAATTTTCGGAAACCTAATTCTCTCATGAAAGAAAAGGTTGATAACGACATTAAATTCAAAAGTAGTAAACGAAGAGTACAACCAAGAAGTAGTGAGTGGCAAGGAGAATGGCAAATTTATTTTCTATATGCAACTTGCCACAGTCCGTTTCCATTTAGTTGTTGTTTTAAAGCTAAAGTAAATAATATTGTGATAATAAAGTAAACGTAAATATAATGAAGTAATAAAGTAAATATATTGTAACTACTAAGCCAAAAAGAGCTTTCTGATTAATTTCGAAGCAAAGCAGGCGGTTACGGTTATAAAAGTTTATTACTTCATTAAAAAAAGTATGGTGCTTCCACTTACCATTTTACTTTGAATATAAGTAGGTATTTTCGTCTAAAGGGGAAGTGAAAGTAACAGGTAATAGACAATGTAACATATTCTCTTAAAACAATTATCATATGTTTTTCCCACATATCTAATGTATTAAATTTATGCATTTTCCATCACTGTCAATTTCCTTTTATGAGTGTATATTTTAAATATTTACTTAATTATAAAAGTGCAACCGATTTTTTTTTTAACATATTTTTTAGATTTACAAACAAAAATGCTGGAATTTTTATTTAGCTCAGCAAGAGTGATATAGCAAAAAAGTCTAAAATATAGCACATAAGCCGGGAAACTTTCTTTTCATTGTGGATAATTTTATTAACTATATATCAAATAGGTGTATGTATATTTTAGTACTCAAATTGCCGTAATTTATCTAATGTCGGAGTTATCTACATATGATCTTATATAATTAATGAAAACTACACATATACAATCAGAGCCTGTTCATTCTTTGCTTATAACACAGAATTAGACATATTCGAAATATATATTCCATGGAATAAAATTCCGATCATGCTCAAACTCTCTCATAATTTTCCGGATCAGCCAAGTTTATTGGTTCTACTTTACTAACTTCTCCTTTAATTAATTACAAAATACTTTCATAGTTTGTATTTAGCCATTTACTGTTACTAGTATCAATATGAGATTGTTAGTAAATTGTAAATCGTGATAGGTAAAGGTAAAGCCAGACTGCTTCATAATATTTCAATGAGAATAATACCTGCCCCATATTAAATCACTTGATTTTACATTAATATAACAAATTTAATCATAATTGATAGATCAGTTTTTGAAAATTGTAAAAATATGTAAACATAATAATACGAAATACCATATTTGGTTAATAGATTTTTACAAAATTACAATATGATACAATTTTAGTTATGTACACATTTTCATTTTTGAGTTAGGCTGTCTTAAGAGACCAATTTGTGAAACTTGGTCATTAAGATATTAGGAATCGGGAGACCTCAAAACATATATTTGAAATATTTCATGATTGCAATAATTTCTGTTACAATATATATCATAACTAGATAAGTAAAACTAAAAAGAGGCTTTAACAGTCTACAACAATCAACATATCAAAATACTACCTCAAAATTACATCAAGCAACATACATAACTATTATTACAAATTAACAGGCAGTAATAAGCAAAACATAACAAAAAAAAATAAAGAAATAATAAAATAAAAATAAAACACTCACTATGTAAATTTGGTGGTGGTGAAGCCTGTTGGCTCCATGGAGACCTTGATGGCCCTACCATTCCTCTTGGTGGTTGCCTTCCTTCCAGCTTATTGCTCAGATAACTTCCTCCTTCACCACCAACACAAACTGATCCTACATGTTTGCCATAAATCGAAAAAAAAGTGCAATAAAATAAAATTAAAATAAATAAAGGCCAATGTGCTAAAGGTTAATAAATAAAGGTTTGACGTAAGTTAAAAAAACAAAACAAAAAATTGTGGTTGGGATAAAAAAAAGGGCTAATAATACAATGAGAAATGAACACTCTACTACTTTCATTCCAAAAAATAAAGGAACTCCTTGCACTATATAAAAAATATTCTCTATTAAGGACAAATTTCTATATGATAATAACACTGCATTTAAAATATAAAAAACTCACTCAATAAATACTGAAGCAGCAAAGATCAAGAAACTTTGTGTATTTGGATAGTATGATGACAAATGCTTTTTTTAATTAGAAACAAAACGATAAAGCACATAGTAAAGAACTTTTTATTGTTAACATACCATGCATAGGCTGTGGACGGAACTGAATAGGCTGCTGCGGAGCATGATGCTGAACTGTAGCTTGATCATCAACTTCGATGGTTCCAGACACAACACTATACTCGTCTTTCACAGCTCGACTAGGTCCTGACTGTAGGCTCAAACCTGATAAATCTAACAATAAAAGCTCTGCTTACAAACATATGTTTTATGATACAAACATAGTATTAACCAAAACTAAAAAGAACACCTCAAGTTAAAACAGAAAGCAATAATGACAAGATGATTAATTATAAATGTGTAAAGTGTGAAACTCAATATAATTTAGAAGTGTTGATAAAATGTGCAACCAATTCCTAGATGATTAATTTGAGTTGACTTATGAATGAGATATTTGTATTTGTTTTTTTCTCCCAAGATATTCATAGATGATCAATTAATTTTCAAATATTCGAGTTGGTTGATATGTTCTTTTGTTTTACTTCTTATTTTCTAATAAAGCATTCATATTCCAATACTCAAATCTATGTTCCTAATACCACTTGTTCTTATTCTTATTAAAACAATTATTCTTCTTGTTCAAATTTGCTTTATAGCTTATCACCACTAGTGAGTAATGTTTATGAAGATTAAGATTATGAAATTAATTTTGAATAAAATATTTTAGGAGAAATTTATTTATTTGTTCCAAAAGTGTACTAAATTAATGTTACTTGTATAATTGTATCTTTATACATTCTATTCCCAAACACTAACATTTTGTAAGTAAAATTTTTCATTAAATACTAAAAATGCTATTAAGTCGTTAAATTGCATGTAAACTTTGATAAAATAATTATGGTAATAGTTCAGAAATGCTACTCCAAGATAGCGACTAGGTTCAAGATCACAAGGGTTTGGTCGTCTTCATTTACTTACAAGACCATTCAGGTGGGGTACTTTAGATTCCCATCTACAGAATGATAAATGTGATATTAAATCCAGCCACCATCTTAAAATAGCAAGGTTTGTCAAAACAATATTAACATATCAAAATATATATCTAGAATTCTAAAAAGTATGTTTCAGGTCTGTATTCAGCATTACTCCGCTAAAATATGGAGTGCCTGATTTAAATTTTCAATAACTTCTCTAAATATTGAAAAAAAAAATAACATACCTATACCAGGCGATACAACTCTCTCGTAGTGGTAAGGGTTAACACAGACTGAATCACACTTGAGATCAAAAGCGTACTGGCAATATTTAACATGTTTCAATTCATTCTTGTGAAGGTCTGGCCATCGCCATATCCTGGCATATATCACATGAGGGAAACCTTTCCTTCCAGCAACCTGAAACAAACATTCTTAGAAATAGTCTAATACAAAAACATCAAATAATAATTTCCGTAACTAACCTGAAGTCGCCCATCTAATGTTCTCTGAATTGTGACACATTTACTATGATGTGAACCATTTGTGGTGATAGCTGTAATCAAACTGTCAAGTTCATCTCTTTTTTCCTATAAATGAATGTTTAAAAAACGAATTTAAAAAAATGCTAATGGCATTATTCTGTGTAATTACTGATCACTGGATTCTGTTTAGAATTAGTAACTTACCTTCAGTTTTTTAACTAAACTTTCTATAGCTCGTTTAGCAAATCCTTCTGATTCACCTCCTTGTCTATGGCACATAAGACTGTGGACAATGCTTAAACAAGCATCTGCTGAAGTTGGTGTGCTAGTAACAGTCATTTCTTTTGTAGAATTGTAATTATTAGCTGATTAAACTGCATCTGCACTGAACCAGGAAAACCATAAACTTTGTTTGTGAAACTGATTTGCAGAACAAAAGCCAGCTCAGAAAGACATAATCAGTTTATCAGCATTTCTCAATTGAATATGTACCATGCAGAAGATTATTGAGACAAAATAAATACAAATAAGCAATAACAAACAATTAAAAACACACAAGTGACGGAATAAATATAATATCCAATTTTTGACAAAATTTCCTAACACCATTCACCACAACAACAAAGCGAGTAAAAGCTTTGCCAATTGCTTCCCCCAATTCCTTAACCGCATCGACGTCACTTGGGAGAACGTTCCCTAAGGATGTTTTGTTGCCTCTAAAAAGTTTAATGTGAAAACGCTATTTTCATTTTTGTAACTTAAAAACTTCTTGGTACAGACACTCCTTGTGGCAAAGTCTCGAATTCCTAACCATCAAGTTACACAATGAACCATTTCTTATAATTGGTAAATGGTTGACTGTCGTGGATAATGAAGAGAAGAATAGTTGGGGTGGTCAATCAAAAAAAGAAGGCAAAAATAAATGATAATAATGAACCACTTCTTAATAATCAAGAGTTTGAAAGTGCTACAGTACGAGTATGATGGAGCCTTTTCTTGTCATGAAAATGAGAATAAATTAATCATTAATTTATTAGAAATAAACTCTTTTACAAAGCAGATGTCACTTGTACTTATTACCTATCAGGAGTTAGCTATATTCCGCGAAAACTGAGTTCGTGGTATAGGGATACAGTATTAGTTATCATCAAAAAATTTCAAACTAATAAAAATACCACTCATAAAAACGTTAAGGTTCGTATTCAATATTCCATTATAGTTACAGTACATATTTCTATACTAGAAGAGTAGGATTGGGATTATTTTTACTGTGACAGCATTATTAATATGAAAACGGACTTAAAGTTATTTTAAATATATATCGCATTAATAAACTTCAAAATTAACTGCAGACTAAAAAGATTAAAATCTTGTCTCTAAAAGCGTCATTATTCCTGTGATTACCGTTAATAAATCAAAATAAGTTAGTCCCACCAAAATTAAATCCTGGATCCGTTTCTGCTTGTCCAGTGTAAAGTAGATTTTCTCGAGTAGTCATTCTGGATGACAACAAGTAAATTGCCCTCAATAGAATGCTGAGTTGCTTACTTCTCTTCGTAGCTTAAAGGATATATATGGTTCTTTCTACAACTACCAGTCTATGGAGATTCTGTTTAAAGTAGTCATGTCCCGTAAGTATCATGAAGCAAGCAATTGACTGCAACGTCAGAAGAAAAAAATCGCAATTCTTGGTCATTTGAGACATTGCTGGAAAAAAGACTAAGCGCAGCAGAGAACATTTGTCCAATAGAAGGAGTCAGTAATCCATCGAAATACTGTTGCACTTTCATTCAGGCGTTTCATCAAGGAGAATATGAGTCTTGCTGATGAACGCAGAACAGGTCGCGGATGACCTTCTTGAATGTGTGAACTAAGACTTGCCTGAAATTACTTGTGATATATCGGCCGTAGTTAGAGGCTTCTATGCCAAAGTGGCCTGTCATTTTAAAAACCTGAATTTGAGCTCAAGGTCCTCCCACGTGACTTGACAGATGAGCGGTTATGAGCAAAATTCTGCTAAAAAAATCCAAAATGTACCAGATTCCGGAAAAGAATATATGACGAAAATAGGATATTTTTTTAAAACCTAGTAAAAATAAGCAATGTGTACGGGCAGAGAAGCTGCAAAACCGGAGGTTCGCCAAGATCAATTTGAGAAAAAAGTGATGTTTTGCGTTTAGTGGAACTTAGGCGTTTTGCATTTTTAGTTTGTTCCTGATTCTCGGACAGTGAACTCAGAACTTTCCTGTGAACAGCTATACTAATTTCTGGGCCAAGGCCCAAAAATTGACCTCATCGCAGGCAAAGGTTTGATTGTAAATTACGAAAGTGTATGTTATCCTAAGTAAAAAAAACCTTTGTCTGCCCTTCCAGAGCTGCTTTAAAACATTGCGGCTGATTTAAAGAATATTAGGGCAGTAATTTGAGGATCGAAACGGGAAATCCATTGGGAAAAATGTGAGAAAAGTTTATATTTTTTTTAACTTGTGTATATGGATTTAGACATGTAAAAAACCAAATTGCTAACGCGGGTCACCAGAGGAAAACTTTTTACAGCCAAAAAAAGTCAGATTTTTTCGATATTTTTTGTTTTTTCACTCATAACTCCTAAACGATGCATCAAAGCTAAAAATATACTTTTTAATGAATTAAAGGACGTTAAATTTTGCGTCAAACGAGTGCATAAACTTTATAATTCGGTTACGTGGTAAGATATAAAAATACGGTCAACCAACGCTGATTTATACCAAATTTGTCAAAAACTGAGATAAATGACTATAAATGGCTCTGTAACTTGAAAATGAGTTCCGTAAGAAGAAAATTCATAGAATCAAAGTTTTAGTGCATCAAATTTTGCGTGCACTTAGTATTAACATTATTGTTGTAGGCCCATTATATGTCTCGAATCGGGATTCGTTATTCCTTTGTGAAATTCGGTATCTTTCGACACTTCTTTTATCAAAATCCTTCGCTGTTGAGAGGTGGAGAAGAGGCTTATACTGCATGTAACAGATTCTAAACAAACATAACTCAGGCGAATAGACATCCATACTGTTAAAATATTGAAAATCACGTTTCTCTTTATTACCAATTTCTAACCATCGGGAGATTACAGATTTGGTTCGGAGTAAGTGGCGTACATTAAATTAGTTGATACTCATTGGGTTTCCGTTGATGGCCCGCGTTAACAATTTGTTTTTTTACATGTCTAAATCCATATATACAAGTTAAAAAAATATAAACTTTTCTCACATTTTTCGCAATGGATTTCTCGTTCCGGTCCTCAAATTACTTTCCTAATATTCTTTAAATCAGCCGCCATTTTTCAAAGCAGCGGCTCTGAAACGATCTTTTTACAGAATAACACACACTTTCGTAATGCACAATCAAACCTCTGCCTATGATGAGGTTAATTTTTGGGTCCTGGCTCCAGGGCTTTACAGATTTAATGCACCGTTTTGGTAAACAGGTATCAAGCCAATTTGCAACAAGACAATGCTCCTGCACATCCTTCTCATTTGACCAAATCAAAGTTATCTGAACTTAATATTATACTCAACAATAACAGAAATATTATACTATCAGATTATGGTTTGTTTAGATCACTAGCTCATTTTTTAAAAGATCGGATCTTTGATAAAAAGGTACTGGTATGGAATTCCTGGCATAAATATGTAGTTTAAAAAATAGGCTTTGAAGACCAGTATTCAATAATATTTAAAATATGTGATATGAAATAAAGCTGTACTTATGCACTAGAACTTTTTTAACAATCTAGTATATACTGATTACTAGTAGTTATGTGAGCAGTAAACCTAAAAAAAAAAAAAAAATTCAATGTCTGGTCTTTATTGTAGGTTTTAAAAGTTTAGTTAAAGGAATGTCATTCATTTTTGATAATCTATAGAAGCGCAAAATTTGATCAACCATTGATAGGCCTTCTCTGAAATCAGGCTCATATTCTCCAATATATTTTTGAGTTTTGGGTCAGGATTAAGGGAAATAGTTTATAGATGTTTCTAAAAGAGATAGGACCGTGTAATTTTCACATTTTGATCCATTTTCTTTATATGAATGGGATGTATTATGGCTAGACTCAATTCTTGTTTTCATACCATTAATATTAAATTTGACTGTTCTTTACACTAGCCTTTTCCAACTCGATCATTTCAGCTTCCACCTCATCAATCTCGTCATGGTAAAAATATCATGTAACTGATATCTATATCATGACAAGTGACCTATATTTTTCCCAGTGTTTTGTGAAGAATAAAATGTTTAATGACAGGATGGGACTTAGAATGGATTACTGAAACATTTTCAATTTACTAAGTTTGCAGAACAGATTGTTTTAATAGGAATAAAATGTTCCATAGTTGCATTCAAACTGAAATGCAAACTTTTTCCAATAGAAAAATACTCAATATTAAAATTAGCATAAATTAATCAATTTGAAATTAAATCAGCATTATGAATTATTTCAATAAACATACAATTAAGATCTGTAATGTTTTTGTCTTACAAAAGTAAGTCAAGGACTTATAGCTTTTACCTATTTTTTTTTTTCAATTTTGAGTATTCTTGTAAGTTAGCATGAACTTCAAGGTTTTGTATAGGTAGCCATGAGATGGCCAAAAGTGTCCCAAAGGAGCGGGTAACACAACATTTAAGTACAAATAGGAAAATAATATAATAAATTAAAAGGGTTGCAATACAAGAGATAAATAATTATTCGAAGTATTAATTTTCATCAAATATTTATTAAACAGAACAAATATTTTAATCAATAATAGTAATTGGCATTAGCTGTTACTATGCTTTTCAAAAAAATAATAAAAGGAGAAAAAATGTATATTAGTTTTTAAGTTACATAAGTAGTATAAACAGGGATAAATTTTGTAAGTAAACAGTAAAATATAAATAGAATGTTTTTCCGTAGTATTCATAAACAAACAAGTCTTCATAATTAAAATTAATGTTCGCTATTTTAACTACAGTTACAAAAAGGGGAAAAGAAAAAAAAAAACGAAGGGAAAAATTGAGATTATGACTACACAAACTTTTTGTTTCCAAATACTATATAAGATTTGTACAACACACAGACAGACCTTAAATAATGAGATCAAGATTTCACATAACACTACAGAATTAAGTATAAACCTTAACATAAACAAGTATGTATGTCTATATATATAATTTTTATATACATACATTATAAAATTTGTATGACAAATAATAATTAGACACTGAAGAAAACATTAGAAATATTACGTTTATAACGACTACATAAAATTAAATGTCTACAACGACTATAAAATTACAGAAAGATTATTGCTGAATGAGGAGGTATATTTCTTCAGGTATCAACATTAATAATTGGTCAAGGCAGTAATTACATCTATATTAGAAATCACTGAGTAGGATTTAATGATGAAGGAAAAGAATGCAACTACTAGTTTTCTCTTTTCTCTTGTTTTTTCTTTTGTTTAAGTTTTCCTAGTATATATTGTTATACAGGATATATACTGGATAAAATATCTACAATCTTTAAATTGATTCACATATTCACATCAAGAACAAATTGATCTTGTTCAATTGGCTTCTTCATCCAAACGCCCAGACCTGCTTTTAAAAATGCAGCTGACATATGTTCTTTGGCATCCTAAAGACAAAATAATATTTGTTAATATTATATAAAGTCAATTCGTATTATATACAACAAGATTAAGAAATGATTTGTTACAAAGTATTTTGAAAATATACTGACTCCATAATAAGGGAGAATAAAAAATTTAATATAAGAATGTGATTGCACTTTTTAAATAATTCCACAATAGCGTGACATATATGTTGCCGAACACAATACTGTCAAACCTCTCTAAAATCTATTTTGATGAGTTAGCCGAAGTTTTGACCCAAACATTTGGGTCATCAGTAAGGCTTAAAGTTAAAAAATATAAAATAACATCAGAAAAACTATAAGTATAAATGTGTAAGTGTGATAAGAGTAAATAAAGAAGATAAGAGTAAATAGATAAGTAATTTTTTCTAATTTTATTCTTTATTCTAATTATTAGTATCTTGTTACTGTCAATTCTTCACTCTTATTACTCTTAAACTTTTATAATTATCATTTCTTTGATGTTATTTTATATTTTTTAATTTTTACCCCTGATGATGACCCACATGTTAGGGTCAAAATGTCGGCTTACTCATTAAAAGAATTTTTGACTGAAAATCCTGAATATAGTTTCATCCTTATAATTTTCAAAGTCAACTACTCATCTATCTCTAGAATATAAATAATATTTATGTATCTGTACAACAACCACAGGAAGTTTTTCTAGGTCGATGGGTGTGTATAGAGGCGATTTGGCTCAACTCCGAGGTCTCCCCCCACCTAATTTATTGATAAATCAAGGATACCCATTTAATAGTAGCTGGGCATACCCCAGGATTTTCTCCCAACCCAAGGATCGATCTATAATAAAACTGAATAAATAATTATCTGCCTCAGCCGACCTCGAACCTAGGTCTTTGCGAATACGAATTCAGTGCCTTATTTACTTGACCTAACCCTTCCTCGCACACAATATGCATTTATAAAAGATAATTAACACATTTTAAAATAAATATTTTTATTCACAGATGACAGGGTAAGAGAAAAATCCGGAAAGATAATTCATGGATAGAAATTTTGAAGATAGAAACACTATAAGTTATACACTTAGCAAATAAGCATCAGAAAAATTCACGACTTTTTATATATATATATATATATATATATATATATATATATATTGGTTTATATATATAAATTCATCCTCATCGAAGAATAAAAATTGGAAATTTATGCATCCAATTATTTGATGTTTTTTTTTTTTTCTGACAAACTCTAAGAACAATTCCTTCTTGAATTATCATATAAAGTCCACTATCTACATATTTAATATAATGACAATAAAAATAAATTTACTTTATAATCAGTCGCAGCATTTTTCGCATCAATATAAACTTCTGGAACAGTTTGCAAAGTGACATTTGTTCGAGAAGGTAAATTCAAGTTCAATAGTCCGTAAAATTTTCCGAATAAGCGCTGCTTGCATAATCTTGAAATACTACCACTCAGAGTTTTTCCTGTTATAGCATTTACGATTTCAACATTTTCTTCTCCTGAAAATGAATTGGTAAGAATAAGAATGAAAATTGATCGGTAAGAATAAGAATTTTAAAAAACATTTCTTCTATATTTAAAAATTAAATTAAAATATGGTCTTTAATTTTTTAAGTAGAATAAGCATGGAAAGATGTATCCACATTGATATTTTTATTCCTTTTTGATTTATTAATTACAAATAGAGAAAATATGTTCCTGAAAGTTATTTTCAACTAAAAAGAGATAATGAACAGCACCACTCATCAGATGCTGTTATGAAAGATGATTTAATTTTCAATCCAACAAATCCAAATTTGAAGTAGAAATAATAATTTAATCTTATTTGGAACAAGATTAACAAAGATACAACAAACAACTCTTGTATTAGACTTTACACACACCAAATATTTTAATATGATATTGTTCTTTTTAAACAAAAAATAACTTATATTTTGGTTCATATATATTATAGATGTTGTTAATTAATTAATCCTTCCCTCGACCTGTAACTAAACTATATATAAAACAAATATATATAAAAAAAAATTTATTATTAAAATATTTATTGGTAGGTTTAATAAAATAAAAAAAATATATATATATATATTTTTTTTTTTATTTTATTAAACCTACCAATAAATATTTTAATAATAATTTTTTTTTTTTTATCGGGCACAGATGACCTAGATGTTTTGTGCCTATAACAACCAACTAACCAAAACAAAAAAAAGAGAGCGCTCACATGCCAACACTTTGATAAAGTTTAGCTGAAAACAAATTTACTTATATCCATAAAAAATATTTATTCATCATACCTGCTATCCAATTTACAGCATGGTTAGGTGCTTTTCCAGGATGCCTAGATTCTGGAGAAGTGGTGGTGTTCATTAAAACCTTGTTCAGTCTGTAAGGTGGAGGAAGACCTTCGAGAGTATTTTCAATTCGTGAGTATAATGCCCTACAAAATTCAGTTAAATACAATACTTCAAAAATGAACTAGTATTTCTAATTACTTACGAGTGCAGCAATGAGAGCTCAGGGTTGGTGACCCCAGCCCGATCAAGATATTATTTCGTATTATGATGAACTTATCTTAGTATAATAAAAAAGTTGTAAAAGGGTTAAGAAGTTAGATCATGAGACCAAATTGATCCAAAAGTTGGAAATGTTTGACCAAACTACAGCAGCACTACTTGTGTTAAGGAAACATATTATTCTTTAAAACATGATGTATATCCTGCCATTTTTCTATAGTATTGTGGTCAGTATGACTCAACTTTTTGTTATGTTTCTTTTATAGTAAAAATGTCAAGGTGGACCTATGATTAAGTTTCGAATTAACTGTATCGTATTGAATACAAATAACAAACAACACTCAAACTAAAATTACAAAGTAAGATAAATTTTTCAGCACACCTAACAGAAAAATATGTTAACTAAAATCCTGACTTTGTTCAAGAAAATTAACCATCTAAAAGAGTCCTTAAAGTTTGCGGTGTTCGATCCTTGTGGTTGAAAATCAAACTACTGAACACAATTTCTATGACAAAAAGTAGGAGAAAAATGATGGTATAAAACAGCTTAAAGGGTCTGTCAAAATAAATATCTGGTGCGGTGCACGCATCACACAATTTTCACTTACCACCCTCTTCTTAGCAGAATTAAGTATTTTCAGACAAAGGGGAAGTGAAAGCAAAAATTATAAACGCTATATTAATTTATTTTCATTGTGGGTGTTTTAATTGGTATAAGTACCCTTATATATACAAATTTTAATATTTATATCGCTGTAATATATACAATTAATTATTAAATAATACCAACAATAGCATTTATGAAAACCACATATGTATATTTACATAATATTTGTCAGAGTCATTATTATATTAAGCTCACGTTATGTATGGAAGCGTGTTCTAATCTTTCGGGTGTGCTCGTATTCTTTTGGTTTCTCAATTACAACTATTCTCCATTAGTATCTCTTTATTTCTCCTTTAGTTAATTATCAAATTATTTTATATTCAACTATCTTTTATACTAGAGATGAATGTCAAACAGTTATTTCAACTCAAGGGATCTCAAAACATGTATTTCCGTTGAAAACTAAGATTAGAAAATTTTCACGATCGGATACTTTCCCTTACATTAAAACGAATTAAAATTGTTTAATTTCCTTACGAATTAAAATTTTATTTGACTATTGAATTAAACCATGGAAAAAATTCCAGTTGCTTAACATGACAATGCATTAAAATACCAAGTATACAAATGCATATCCAGAATAGATATCAATTAAGAAAATTGAATTTGTATGTATTTTATGTCAGAACTAGGTATTGTAAATGATTATTTAACTTTGAATACAAAATAAAAGTAATATAAAAGTATAAAATTATAGTTAAATAATGTGAATAAATCATACCTGCGTAGGTGAGTGGGATGAAAGAGAGACCCAATAACAACGCTATGAAGATAAATCGGCTCTACAAAATGGGATAAAAGTGATCCCTGGATTCCTACTACATTCCACTTACCCAGCTTATCGGAACAGGACATAGTAAGCAGACGTTCACCCTGTAAATAATATATTTATAATTCTTCTTCTTTTAAATTATCACTCATATTCAAACAAATGGGCATATAATAATATAAAAAGTAATCATAATGGGGCATCATAAAATTGTCAATTTTATGTAGCAAAATTATTACCTTCAGTACCTCTTTGATTAACAGAATAAAATTATAAATGTTGTTGGTTTGTTGCAAAAAGCCATCAAGCAGGGATGCTCATCTTCCCCCAAGCTCGATGGTGTATGAGCCTTCCCCAACTTGTCCCAAGATATTTTATTGATATCCTCTTCTTAATAACAGTGCAAACAAAAGTATAATTTAAAAGTTCGTAGATTCTATACAACTACACATTCTGCAGTCTTTTCAATGGTTCCATCTGTCTTTTGATTTGAAATTTTTCAATTAGAAAATTCATAAATTCATAATCCCCTCAAAAGTTTTGATGGCGCAACTTGCACCCTTCTAGGCACCCCTGTCATCAAGTGACACTTCATAACCTTAAATCACTAAGAACTTTGATTAATTTTCTTTTTATAAAATCAGAAAATTGTGCGCTTGTCGTAACTATATTTGACATATATAAGTTCATTTACTATTTTTTAGTTCATTTACTGTTTTTAAAGTGATAAATAAAGCGGAAATTTACAAAATCTTACTTGAAAGTTCAGCTCCATCAAAATATGTACTTGGCGACTTTTTGCAATAAACCAACTATATATCAAAACATTCATCAGCGAGACATCATTAAGTACTTTTGCCAGTATATCATATGCCAAAAGAAAATTCTGTTTATAATTGAACTCTGTTACTTTTTCACAATTATCTAAAGTAGAAGTAGTGTAATTGGTCAACAAAAATCCAATCACGACTACTATACTATACTATTAAGGGGAAGTGAAGTGATAAGTTTGGTCAAAATTTTAATTTCTCCAAGGAAATTACATTTTCCTATAATCATTAGCATCTTATAATCATCAGACTGAAGACACTTTCTGTGAAATCAACACATAAATTTTGGTTATTTGCCTGTCATTTGTATAATCAACAGACTTATATAATTCAAATTTATTGCGGGCAATACTTAAAACAAAACATTAGTATAAAATTAAAAACATTTTCTTATTTAATTGGTTTCAGTAGATATCATTTTAATTTAATGTTGAAATGAAATAGTTTCAGAAAATCATGCCCCAGAATTTCAAATGATAGGTCTGAGGAGTTCTTATTCATTTACTTTGTTGAGTTGCTCTTGATTATTTCCACTGGAACCTCCACAAGAAAGTTAAGGCTTTAAATATATTTTATAAGCCATATTCAAGAGATGAATTCAAGCAGTTTTTATGGAAACAACAGGAATTAACATTTAGAGCAAATTAAAGAAATAAATCATAAGGAATTAACATTTAGAGTATATTAAAGAAATCTTAATCATTCACCGATAAAATTAGTAATATAGGTAAATTTAATTTTATATAACCTGTATAACACCATCCCATGTTTGTACTGGTTCAAAAGATTTGACTGGAATAGTACCCTCCCCTGATTCAATTTTCGTTCTAAGCTGCCCTCTAGATTGTCTATTTGGATGACGATCAACCGTTTCATCACCAGAACCTTCCATATCATGAGGTGAAAATATCCTAGAATAAGTGAGTATGACAATATTTTTTACATACATATGTGAATACAAAAAATAAACAATCTGCCATTAAAAGATCAAGAAATGTAATTTCAGAGAGAAACAGATATCAAGTAAAATTTATTTTGATTATATTTTATTATTAAGGCCTTCCTGCTAAAATTTAAATAATAATTTTATTAGTTTAACAAAATAATATTTACTCAGTTAAATGACCAATGCATAAAAATAATAAATTTATGGCAAAGATTTTCAATTAATTCTGACCTCTAAAAGTTTAATGTCTCACAACATCTGTAACGTTTTGTCCTAGGAAATGCGAATGGTAGGGCTATCTTTCTGTTTGAATGGAAATTTACATTTCATGATGACCAACAAGGAACCAAACACAAACTGGTTTCAAACGTAGGCATTTTATTATTTTTAAAGCAGCCCAAGCTTGAATAATATGTATAAACTTAATAACAATAATAATAATAATAATATGTATTTTCTGTATAGGCATCCAAATTATTCTTGAAATATTTTAATATTTAAACTTTTGTAAACCCTAATCAAATTCTCATAAGTATTTCTCTTTTTTTTTTCTGACTAATGAATAATGTCGGTTTTATACATTTTATGAGTGAAAATATCCATAATAAGTAAAATATGTTTGATCAACATGAATATTTCTTTTAATTTAATTGTTTAAACTTGCAATTTTCTATTGTTTATTTCCTAAAAGCCAAATACGCAATTTGTAAATTAGGAAAACTTCCATTTATAAAATATTAAATTTGGGTGAATATGGAGTTTATAATTATAATGAAAGTTGGTTTCTAATTAGGGTGAATCTATAAATTGAACCTTAAGGTTGTCATAGGTCATATTTTGAGCGCTGAGGATTTTAGATTATATGAATTGAACAAAGGAGGAATTTGATGGTTTTGAGGAACACAAAAACAGACCATTCTCAAATATGAATACCTGAAGCAATTTAAAAAGTGATCTTACCTTGCATCGCCGCACGGTGATGTGCTTATGTATAAATGAAATCTTATATCCGGTTTCAATTTGAATGTTTTTGATTCTGTATCATAAACAAATATTGAATCACTGGCAGTAGCTGAAAAAGAAGTATAATAATTATTTTCTTAAACAGTTGGATTGTTATTAACATATTTTTCCACTAGATTAAGGTGACCAGACGTACTGCTTTTGGCAGGATAGTCCCGATTTTATACAATTTGTACCGGGTTGTTTTCAAAAAGTCCCGATTATCAGAAAAATGTACGACAAGCTAGGGAAGGGGTAAGAGAATATACGATTTTCGGCAGCCCCATAGCTATTTTGCTAGGATATGAGTTGAATATTATTTTTGTTGATTTTATAATGTTAAACTTTGATAATAAGGAATAAATGTTAAGAAACTGATTATCAAAAACTGTGTAGAAAAATTCGCATTGTTGATTAGTTGTTAGAATTCTATCACCACTTTTTGGACTTAATGACAATAACAAGAAAATGATATTTTTAATGAGGTGTCATTATAATATATATATATAAATAGATAAGGACAAGGTTACATCTTGGACATCAGCAAATTAACTTCTTTTACTACTCCAATCACCGAAATAAGTTTTTAGCATTTTGAAAAAGAGTTACTTGATTATTTCCAAACTGCTGGTACAAAAAATTTAAGTCTTAAAAACTATGTTATTATTGAAGTTATTAGACATCAAATTATTCGTTTTCAAGATTAAAAATGAGCCTTCAGAACAAAAGTCTCAACCTTATTTCAGCTGACTGATACAGTAATATTATGTACTATGTATTATGTATCTCCCTCCCCTCTCCCCCTTCTCCCCCATCCTACATTATAAGGATGTATCTGGAAAGTAACCTTATCCTTTTCAAATAAAGAAAACCTGAATTAAGTAGAAAAATACAGTTTTAGTGTTTGTTACTGATAATATTTTATTCACATGTACATGCTAACAAGGCTCAATAAATAAAGAACATATTTGTTTATTTAATTTATTTGCTTCCAAACTATAATGTAGGGCAGCATATTTTATGGTTTTATTTTGCTAATCCAAAATGGAGTTTCAATATAACTGAGAGCAATCCACGATAACTGAAAGAAGAAAAAGACTACCAATTATAATAGTAAAAATATTGATACGAATATACCTAGTAGGATTCCGATCTGATAAGCAGATTCTTAACCATAAATAACAATATTTAAGATATTACAAATCTTTGTAGCGATCATGAAGTTATCTATATTATATTATTTTACTATGGATATTTTTTTAAAAATACTATTTTATTATATAGTATAGGTATTTTCTCTGTCCCACATTTCTTTTTGTCAGTCCCACACGTACAACATTTCTCTATATCTATCAATGGGAAAGGAAACTTAAATTATGTATTTTTAAAAATTTCGGACTGAGGCTAAACAAGGTATATTGAATTATTTTAAAGCTTTGGCCGAGAAACTTGACTGTAAAACAGCCTTTATAAATTCTGTTAACTTCAGAACTTGCTAAGTGTCCAGACATTTTCATGCAGCAAACACAAACAATAACAATGGAAATGGCGGTATATACAGCATAGTTAATTAACATATATTCTATACTTATAATTTGTTTTAAAGGGACACTAGTCCGAGAATAATAAAATTATTTTCATTCATTCATTCATTCATTCATAGTACACTGCTTGTACGTAAGGAGTGCTGATGTAACATGTGTATTTTCAACATACATGGTACAAGTTTAACCACCAAACTGAGTTCATGCAAGAAACTGGTCTAGAAGCTCGACCATGCAAAACAGCCTTTAGGCTTTCAAATGGTCAATTACTAACAATTCTGTTATGATTATAATATAAACTAAAAATGTAATAAGTTATCAAATTTAAAGAAGATTAATAAAAACGTAAAATATAAAGCTTGAATGTTCTATTTGATTAGGTATCCTAATTAATATAAAATAACTTTTCTTGGAATGGCCTTATTTCTCATTGTCATACAACATATTATTTCTGTAAGGTTACCACTTAAATTGATTGTTTCAGATTCAATATCTGTGAATATAGCTAACCTACTTAACTTAATTTGGAACTGATTATAAATTTCAACAAATACAAATCAGATTACTTACAGGAATCTCCATGGAGAGCCAACTGGTTATACAAGTATCTGAGCAGGCCCCGGCGTGATATTATTTCTGCGTGTGAATCATTTAAAACTGCGCCCTTGACAGAGATATATTCTCCAGAAATACATTTAGTACCGGTTGCAACTGAGATCAACTGGCCTTTGGTACAATCCTGTGATGTAGTCATAACTACACCAGCTAAAACCTTTCTTCTTGCATACTCCTCCATTCCCTTCATGACTTTATGGTACTCATTAACTACCAATCTAAAAAAAAAATATATAAAAAAAAAATTGAATTTATCTACATCAACATCGAATTTATCTACGTGGAATGTCTACATCAACATGTAGGAGCTGAAATATAACACAAATAATTAAGATAAAGTATTTCCTGAAATGTAATATATGAAATACATTACATGAAATGTTCTGTGTAACATCATTATCGTCATAATACAATTTAAATTTCATTCCCAATTAATGATATTAAAAAGAAATTCAATTAATTATATACTAAAATAACTTGAAAGTGAAGTGTGTCAATAGCTTGTGGAATCACTACAGAAGTGTTCTGTGGTTTCTTGTTGCCAATTTGAAATGGGCTTTAGCTTACATTATGACAGCACTTCCTCTTTGGTGTCTTTCTTTTCCAAGACTTTAGAATAAAAAAACCTCACTACATCTTTAAACTTCTTACTCTATGTTGTTCTATCTACTTTTTAAGTACTAGATTTCAACCTATTGTTCTCCTCCATAAAACCATTATTGATTCATGATTATTCTTAAAGGATTTTAGTCCAAAAATAAAATTACTTTTTTTCATATATTCACCATGACATCAAAAACCTAGTTATAGATTTTGGCCTCCTTACTAGATTTCTATGTCATACACATTAGAATCAGGCCTGGCAAATACAATACCAGGGGGAGCTTATTTTAAAAAAATCTGTTTATAACTATTAAAATAATGGTTTTAATGAGTTAAGAAAATCCCCATTTAATTTTTGTTTCTACCCATGATTGGTTTACATAATTTTCTTCAGAAAAATTGCTCTGGCTGTGTGGAGGGGGCAGCGAAAACCTTCTGGTCTAGAATCACCCTAAATTTTTATTCAGCCTAGATCAGACTCTGAGGTCCAACATCTCTTACAACACAATATATTTTTGGCTATAGGCCAGTAATCGCTAGTAATAAGTAATCAAATTCTTGGTTTCTTTGTTTCCTCCTTGAATGATAGTTTAAAAAATATTTATCAAATATTACACATATTTCTCAGTGAAAAAACATAGTTTACAGTCATTATACTTCCTCTGTTCCTCAATGTATTTTAACAAGTTATGTTTATATCTAAAACTGAAATACCAGAAATACTACAATGATATTTGATATGATTCAAATATAATTGTTAGTTCTACTGTTTTATACAATTCAATGATTGGTTCAGGTTAAGTAGAGTTGGATCAATTATTTTTAAAGAACTTATTATTCTCTGATCGGATTCCCAAAATATTTGATACCTCGATGAAAATCTTGAAATTGATATATTCAGCTAAAAAAATTTCTTCATTTGTCTTACTAGCATTATCCTTCAATGATAAATATTCATGATTTTTCATTATGTATGCCAACATTTCAACTCAAGCTTGTGTAAGTATAGGTTTTGCAAAGTTAGGACTACAGGTCAGATTAAGAACTAAGATAAGCTTGGGTTGAAATGTTGGCACCCATATTACTAAAATATAACTGAAAATCCTGATTATTAATCATCCAAGATAACCTGCAACATATTAAATTACCATTTATCTATAAGACCAGGTCTGTAAATATGAAACAGGAATTCTTCCATGGATGGCTCTAGTTGATAATGTAGTTACTGTTAAGTCATATTGGTGCTATTTTGTTCCTTTGAGCTGGCAAAGATTTTCAACTCCCAGCAATACCAGCATCGTTTTAATAGTGTTGAACATGTCGAATACTATGAGAAAAAAAATTACTATCTGCAGACAGCATTATTTTTCTCTTACCAATTAAAAAAAAAAAGTGCTGCAGAAGAGCATTGAAGCTTATGGTGATCATGCTCTTGGTAAATCACACTGCTTTGAGTGGTTTAGAAAATTTAAAGTGGCAATTTATAAGTGAGAAATGATGATCTTGGAATGTGGGATGATCTATTATAAGCTGTTTAAACCGGTTTTACAGAGTGATATCGACAACGAATGATCTATCCTAACAGACTTTTGTGTGAAAATAGACCAGAACATCAAAAAAGACAACACAAAGTGATTTTGTTTCATGGATAATGAACCATCAAACTCAGCAAAATTGAGGCGTTCAGTTGGAAAATATTAGCACATGCAGCTTACTCACCAGACTTGACTCTCGACTACTATTCATGTGCATCTGAGGCAGACACTTGCCTAGCAGAGTTTGACTCCTATAAAAATGTATGGAAGTTGCTTGATGACTGTTATTTATTTATTTAGTAATTTTCTATATAAAAATTCTGGTTTGATATTTACACACCTGGTAAATATGAACAAAACTAAAAATAAAAGTAATTTTGTGAAGTAAAAACGGCTTTAAATCAATAATGATAAAACTAACAACACTAATACTAACTCTGCTATATTATTAGCTGCTATCAACTGAATAGGAGAAGTTGTAGGGGGTAAAATGCTAGGAGGACCTCCGGAAGGCGGTGCAAGCAAAACTGAGCTGTGCAGCAGGTTGCCATATTTTTGAAGAAGTACAGCTCTGGCAGCTGCAGCTTTGGCTGATTTCTTGTTACTTCCTATCAACAAATAAACAAAAAAAATCGTAAATATACATTTCAGAAATAACAATAAGTTACTATATAAATAGAAATAAATAGTTGGTAAAATAAAAAAGCTTATTACCTCATAATTATTGCTAAAATATAAGTACACAGGAAACAGTTCAAACTACTATAGCATTTCACAATTAACAAATTTCAATATTTTTCATTTAAATATTCTACAGAACCATAATTTGATGATACCTATTCTACAATTCATCTGGGACTAATATATAAATAAATATAAAATTGAGAAGAAAACTGAAGCTTTAGAAATACTAATAAAAGAACCAGGTTGAAATAAACAGCACAAAACTGAATCAGAACATTTTATAAAATTTCAGGTTGATCATTACAGTGTCAAAAGCATTAGCTGTGTATTAATCAAATGCATTAATAAAAAATAAAAGATAAAATAAAAACAATAATAAAAATGAATTATTTGCTTTTATTTATTTATCGTTTTATTTTTTATCTACTACTAGATAAGAGACAATACTTATTTAATCACTAGTTTTCTCACTATTCTTTGGTTGTTAGTCTATACTGATGTATGAAGGTCAGCCATTTAAATCATAAACTCTACTTTCTTAATTTTGTTAAATATATATTTATTTAAAAGAATATATATACCTATATATACTGTCAAAATAATTTTATCCCTCCATGCAATAAAGGAACAAAAAGAAAATAAAGAAAGAGAAAGAAAATTATTATTTCCTAAGTATTTTAATAGTTTAAACTAATTTGTAATGAAATTTACCTAAAAATACTTCTCAATTAATACAAAGAAGATTGAAAACTAATAATTTTGGGATCTATTCATTTTTGCACAGTTTATATCAATTCCAATAGTACTTTTTAAAATATATTATAAATATACTACATTATTTGATATTAACAAAGTAATATGAAAGCTTAGCAATATTTAGCCTAAGCTAAATAATATATAATGCACGGCTGTTAACATAATGCAGTTTACTTACTGTCATAGTAATGAAAATTTGTTTTTCGTCAGTCAGCATGTGTATAGCACAAAATCTGTCAAAAAAAATCAAATTCAAGATAAAGCAAAGATATCGATAAAAAAAGCTTACAATTTTTTTTTTTTTTATAATGACTTCCGAAACAAATCTCAAATTTATCCAAAGACCAAATTTAAAGCATATTTAAAAATCATTAGTCCATTTGATTAAAAAAAATAAAACTTTATGTATAAAAAATATTTTACCAATACTATACTGACTTTATACAATCGTAGTACCAAAATATGAAAGACACGGTATGTTATAAAATAGTTCCATTTTGTATTGTTTGTTATACTTACGTAATAGAATTTTATTATGGTGTTATGGAACATTGTAAATTATTTCAGAGAAAATCAGTCGCAGAATATGTTCATTTTTCCATTTTATTTAAAAATTTAAAGACGAAGCAGAAAGAATACATAATACAAATGAACAATATGGTGAAATCTAAATACAGATGATAAATATGCATATAATTTTTTTGTACACAAATTGACATTAAAAGTTAGACAGTCTTGGTTAAGTTGTAATCAGTAATCAAGTCTGGCGGTGTGTAATATGTGGTGTGATAAGATGGAAAATAATGGGAAGTTTATTTTATTTTCCAAATTTGTCTTGACTGTCACTCTGGTCATCTTATCTATTATTATAAATAACATTAACTAATCATAAATAAATTACTTAATTTTTAAATACTAAATTACAGCTATATAATGTTACAAACGGTACACAGAATCTTTTTATTAACAGTTCTTTTAAATTAAAGAAACTTCTGTTTTACTATGATACCTCTTAAATATTTTTATCCTCGATTTCCTTCTATAACATATTTGTGCCAATTCACTAAATTTACTATTATTTGAAATCAGATGATGATTACTATTATTTCAAATCAGTAGTCTGATTTTTCAAGAAGCATATTATATGCACGGGTGCCAATACAGGTGTTACAGTGATCGAATGAGTTGAAGCATCTGAAAATATATTCTCTATGTGTAGAGCGGATTGATTTTCATTTAGATTTTGAAATAAATCTAAAAGTTATAAAGAAAAAAGAGTAGGCGCTACCTGAGTATGAAGTCCACTAAGGGTTTGATCCTCTGTACCACAAAAACATCAAATTACAAAATCTAAAACTAGTTTCGGAAAATTAAACTATCTTAACAAGATAACAACCCTAAATTTGTTTCAAGGATTATACATTGGATCATGGAATGCTCAGAGCTTATACACTTCAGGAGCTGCAAAAATGGTAGTCAGTCTACTAAAATGGTGCAATATATCATTAACAGCCATCCATCCATTAGGTAAGATGGCCTTAAATATTAAATGTCAGAAGTCATTGGTTTAATGCCATGATTATTGAAGTATATGCACCAACTGAAGACATGCAGAATGTATAGCTATTCTTGGAATCAATCAAGAGACCATTGAGAAACTTGCTAAGACTGATAAGAGAAGCAGAGCCAATCAACCAAGATCCAACAGATAGAGATAAAACAAAATGCAAGAATGGTAAGCAGAAAATTCCACAACAGGATCTATGTAGAAGTCAAATATATATTGGTAATTGGTATACAACAAGTACAAAAAGAGTTTACTTTTCTCATTCAAAGGTATGGAAATCCCTCAATGGTATGGCAAATAGGCATGAAAAAATCTCTAGAAATATCAAAACAAAAGGTGTATAATGCTATGATAAAGCCAGTTCTGAAATATGGCGCCAAATACATGAATGAATAAATAATTCTCAGATATTATTTAGTCTGCATGTTTGCTCATATAATTGTGGTAACAGGCATCAAAACTTTTAATTAAATCCACATAAAGGACCATCAAATAAAATCTTTATCACTAGCAATAAGCAACATGGACAATGAAGTGTTAAGGCCAAAATAGATAAAAAAAAGAAGTGAAAGAAAGAAAATAATGAAGAACAGAAAACATATTCTTGGAGTTTTGGGCCTTTTTTTTATCTCACCCTAATAAGATTGTTTTTACAAAATCATCAGGTTTAAATAAAATTTTCCCTCCCCTCCTTTATAGTCTCTTCATTTTCATGAGGTCTGAACAATTGTATATGTACTTTTTACTTTTACTGCTGAAATGCGCTTGTATATCCAACCATCATGGGTGGAACAAGTTAAAAAATTCTATAATAGAAAGCCTGTTGTAAATTAATACTAATAATACAATTATGTTGGGTATAGTTCATTTACCTGAGCCTTTGTACACTTCATTGTTAATATGCACGGCATATATAAATGGGCAAAGTGACTTTTGAGAGGATTCCTGAACGCACTCGTACTTTAATCCAGGCATTAGTTCATTTAATGCCATTACAGGATTCATACCTCCGGTCATAGCTTTAGCAACATACATTTCTATCCGTGCTTTCTTCTGCCCCAGTGAAAGATTAGAATCTGTAAACAAGAAATAGAAAAATGAGTAAAATCAATAGTCACTAGTAATGAGCTTTTAATCAGCATAGTTTAAATTTGATAATTCAGCGAAATGTCCAGTGTGCTAAGATACGGATAAGAGCTAGAGAGTTAACACTTATTTTTCTCCTATCCTCACTTTTCGGAAGAGATAGAGGACAATCTAAAGGCTAGCCCACACTAGTAGACATGTTGCGATTGGACGTAACATTTAGTGTAGACGTTTAGAGGTGAGAGACATCCTAGTCTTGCCTCCAGCTAACGAGTGGTTGGTTCGGCTGATTACAGTTCTTTTGTGTGGTCTAACGAGAAAGTTTTAAAACTAATTGACGATTACCATAGCGTCTCTCAGTCTTAATTTATTTAATAACACATTACCGAAACCTAGGTCCTTCTGCGAGCGTTTTTTTAAGCTTGCACTTGTAATTAGCACTAAGCAGGAACTTATTCCGGACAAAACAATGTCCTCCATGGTGGAATGCAAAATAAAACTGAGAAATTCACTTTGTAGTCAAGACGATAGAAGATGCTAGATGAGACAAAGAACTCTAGACAAACCATGCAACATGGCCTACTAATGTGCACCTAGTTCTGCCATAAATACTTTTACAAACGTTAAACTTTGTTATATCGTTGGGTATTATTTAGTTAATTCTTATCTCTATCAGGTTATTTTCTTTACATATCCGAATAATAATCCCAATTAGTTTGTATTTTTCTTTCGCTCAGTTAACATGGAGTAGACTGATAAAGAAAACCGAATAGCTGTGATTGCCTTACACAAAGTTGGAAAATGAAGGTCAGAGATTTTCAACATTTCGAAACCTTTGGTATCAGCCTATGTATGTTCGTGTACTGCACTATAAATAGATATAATGAGACCCTATCAGTATGTGACAGACCCCGACCGGGCTGTCTACATTAAAGAAGGGAAATGGGAATCTCTTTCAGATCAATGTCTCACATAATAAAAAGTGACCTTAGGATGGGTGCATTTCGAAGAATGACATAACAGAGGCTGACAACGTCCCTAAAAAAAATTAGAGTGGATAGATGCAAAGTGCTCTGATGCCTACACAGTATACTATAAACATTTCACATTTACAGACAAAGGTCAAATATAGTACACACCCTAGGGTCACCTCCCCTAACTAGCCGCCCTGGACGAGGGAGTACATCAGGATACTCCAAGGAGCCAGTCACTTTATCTGACTTGGGGCAGAATCTGGGCTGATAAACCCCTCCCATTAAATTTTAAATATTAAGAAACTCATACAAAGATAAGCCGGACTGATTTTAAGAGAAATGACAAAATGCCTGCCTAATGAACTTTCAACTGGGAACATGGAATGTTCTCTCTCTTTACCGACCGGGATCACTAGAACAGCTCCTCATGCAATTAAACCATTACACATTGGACATCACTGCTACCCGAGAGGTAAGATTGATGGGGAATGGGACGTTCTCCAAGAAGCACCATGTTATATATTATAGTTGTAACAAGCGAACTCACACATTTAGGACCGGATTCATTGTTAGTAAAAGTATCTCCCAGCTGATAATTGATTTCAAACCCATCAATCCACGAATATGTTATCTACGAGTAAAAGGAAAATTCTATAATTTTAGCGAGTAAAAGAAAATTCTATGATTTTAGCATTATTTATGTGCATGCCCCCACGGAACCATCACTAGAAGAGGAAAAGGAAATATTTTATCATGATATTAAGAGATGTATGGATGACTGTTCTAGAGCCGACATAAAAATTGTGATCGGGGACTGTAATGCAAAAATCAGAAGAGAGCGTGAATTTCGTCATGTAATTGAAATGCAAAGTATACACCAAGAAACTAATGAAAATGGTCAGAGATTCATCAGCTTTGCAGCATCAAGAGGATTAGTGATAGGAAGCACCATGTTTCCCCATCAGAGAATATACCTCGCTACTTGGCCATCCAATGATGGTGTAACCACTAATCAGATAGACGACATTTTTATAAGTGCTAGGTTCGCCATGAGACTAATAGATGTAAGAGTATTCAAAGGTGCAAATGTGAGACTGATCATTACCTCGTGATTTCAAGAATACATACTAAAATATTGCTACTACGTAACATGAAAAATAAGAAGGCAAAAAGGATCAACGTGCAAAACCTCAGGAAAAACTTCTTTTTACGGAATCAATGGATCGAAAATTCCAAGATCTTGAACCGGATAACGATTTCAGTCAAGAAGAATATTCAAGAAAAGCTCCTTGGTTTAATGGAGAATGTAAGCAACAGATGAGAAGAACTCTGCCTACTGTATGATGGTACAAAGAAGATGCACAAGACATTCCATAGAAAACTATCATATAAAGCGTAGAATGGAAAAAAGACTGCATCAGAGAATGAATGAAGAGAAAATGGGAACGAGATCAATTGGAAGAAATTGAGCACCTTAAAAATCTCAACAAAACAAGGAGGAAGAAGAAGATGCAAAGTGCTCCTTGGCCGTTACACCAATGATCTTCATCGAAAGATTTTGTTTAGCGATAAGAAAATTTTTACAATTGAAGAAAAATTGAATCGTCAAAATGATCGTGTGTACGCACACAGCTCTAAAAGTAGAAAGAGGTCATCACCCCTTCTCGTCTGAGCGGTTGAGCGCTTTCTCAATAAGTTCTGCGTGCTGCTATTGATGACTGACCACAGAGATTAAATGCCCCTGTGTTAAGGCAAAAGGGGGACATTTTGAGCAATTTCTTTTTTGTTTTACTCTCTCTAGATATACATTTTATTTTCTAATACTGTTTTTGAACAAATTAATTTTTATGTTGAAATCTGTATATATTTCTTCCTTGTAACAATATTTATGACAGGACTAGGTACTAGTCTTAACGCCATGAGGGCTACTCCATGATGTAATGTCTAATGAGGTTTCAGGGAGGGTAAGAAACAGGCATAGAGATGTGGTTTTAGTGGGTACAAATTGATGATAGTGGATCCACGAGGATAAGTAAGAGCCAATCTTCTTAAGATTTCTACATACCTCGTAATAGTAAAAAAAAAGTTGATCTTTGAAAGTGAATATGATAAAAATGATAAACAAGAAAACAATTATCCTATAAAAGAAATACTTACCTTTGGACTCAAGTGCAACAGGAGAATCCTCAGCAAAGTCAATGTTTTCATTATTAGACTGGGGAGTAAGAAGATTGGGACATAATGTAAGTAGTGCTGCTTCAGCTGCCCTTTGTTTGGCTTGTTTCTTAGCATTTCCGCTACCACTAAATAAAATACCATCCACCTATAGAAATAGGAAAAAAAAAAAAGAATAGATTAAAAAAATAAAAGAAGGAAAATATCGAATAATGTAAACAATATAATGTCCTATATATAAAACGCAATATGAAAAGGCCTAGAAAAATATGAAATAAATAAGTGTGATCAAAGATTTATCTGCAAAGAAGTTCATATTATTTGAACTGAAAAATGGAATAAATGTTATGAATATGTGTAGGTCAGAAACTAAACCTAAAAAAATAATCAATAATCAAAAGAGTTTTGGAAAACGATGATGGTCTAGTTAGCACAGATATTATGCTGATGATTTCATTCAAGGCTTAGGATGGGATGGTTAACATGTGTTTGAAAATGTATTTAGAGGAATTCTTGTGGTGATTCTATAATTCAACCTTTTACTTATATTATACCTATACTCTTCAGTTTCCAAATCCTCAACTGTCTTATGGCTTAAAATAAAAGTTGAGAGGGATAAACTAAGGGAATAAACTCTGACAAATTATCGTAGTTCTGATATTATACTAGGGGAGAGAGGAAGGTTTGGGCTCTGTGGTAACAACCCGTTCCCATAAAAATCATATGGTTATAAAAATACTCAGAAACCTTATAGATTATTTATAATGTACTGATTATGTGGAGTAATATTAAATTTTATCACATAAATTTAATAGACTAACTTACTTCTACAGTGGCGAGAAAATTTGGGCAATGGGGAGGCCCATCTGATAAAACAATTTTATAATTGAGCCCTGATCTCAACTCATTCAATAAGGCGAGAGGAGTTTGAGAAGCACTTAGACATCCATCTTTTTTGAGCCTTTTCACAATAGGTCCAGTATCTGAAAAAAAAATATATATTTATAGCCAACAGTATTCTGTGATTCTCTTAAGAAAACATATTATATTCAGTATAAATATAACATGGATCAAAAAGGTTGTTATGGTACAGAAATTGCCAGTAATTAATTTAATATTCCTAAATAATTATCTACAATTTCTTTAAGGAAGTTTGTCAACTGTTCTACATATCATAGATGATAAATAATCAGGACGCAGTCATTTTAAGATTTTGATTGCTGTTGCCGACGTTTCAAACCAAGCAAGTGCAAGTGGGTCATGGCCATCACCAGGTCTGAAAAAAAAATTTATAAGACCAGAGATATAGTTTTTTTATAACAGATAACAGATAATAGTTTTTTTTTCTTTTTTTTTCTGTTGGTATTACAGACCTTGTGGCGTAGGGAGGTGGCGGTCCCATCGCCCGGTCATTGTACCGCAACCAGCCACTGGCCCTCCAGGTTGGGGGAACACTTACACGAACACTCACACACCAAGTACACTTTAGACAGCACACTACAACACCTAAACACTACAGACAAAGGTCACCTACAGTACACACCCTAGGGTCACCTTCCCTAGGTAGCCGCCCCGGATGGGGGAGCTAGTCAGGATGCTCGGAGGAGGCAGCCCCTCTACCTGACTCGGGGGCAGTGGGCTGATAACCCACCCCCCCTAAAGTACCTTATTACGAAACCTCAAAGAGAAGAAGCCGGACTGAATTACGGTAACAGACCCAGGAAACGCCTAAATGACCTAAGAATTGGATTTTGGAACATTTTATCATTACATAGACTAGGAGCACTTCGTGCGCTCCTTGCAGAAGTGGACACATACAGAATCGACATAGCAGCTATCCAAGAGGTCCGATGGATAGGACAGGGAATTATGGAGAAGAAGTACCATACACTCTACTATAGCTGCCATGAAAAGCATCACATCTTCGGTACCGGATTTGTTGTGAGAGGCAGAGCTCGACAGTTGGTGATGCGATTTACTCCCATTAACCAAAGGTTATGCTACATTCGGCTTAGAGGAAAATTTTTTAATTTCTCTCTAATCAACTGCCATGCCCCAACAGAGGTGTCACCTGAGGAGGATAAGGAAGCATTTTATGAAGAACTTGGACGCGTGACAGAAAGCTGCCCCAAAAATGATGTTAAAATCATTCTTGGTGACTTTAACGCACAAGTTGGTAAGGAGGTGGCACTCATGCCGACCATAGGAACCCACAGCTTGCATGAGACCAGTAATGATAATGGGCTACGGATGGTGAACTTTGCTACATTGCACGGACTGGTTGTTGGAACAACTCTTTTTCCTCGAAAGAATATCCACAAAGCAACATGGATCTCTCCAAATGGGCAAACAGCATCACAGATAGACCATGTACTCATTAGTGCCCGTCACAAGTCCAACATGATAAATGCAAGATCTTATAGAGGTGCAAATATGGACACGGATCACTATTTGAGCATTGCCGAGGTCAGATCACGAATTTCGCTGATTAAAAACCACTACCAACGACCAAAGAAGAAGATTGATGTGGTTAAACTTAAGGATTCAGACCACCAATATTCGTATCAACAAGCTGTGGAGACGAAACTTAATGAAGAAGTAATTAATGACAGCTCTATGGTCGATGAACAGTGGAAGAGATGCAGCAACGCAATGAAACAGGCAGCAGAAGAAGCTCTTGGCTACGAGACTAAATCTAGAAGGCCCCCATGGTTTGATGCTGAGTGCCTTCAAGCAGTAAAAGTGAAAAATGAAGCCTACAGAAAGAAGGTTCAGCGTCCCACAAGGCTCTCCCAAGAAACATATAGAAGAAAAAGACGCGAAGAGAAGAGATTATTCCGCGGAAAGAGAAGAGCTTGGGAAAATAAGAACATGGAGGACACAGAGGCATTGCGAGGCCAAAATGAAAGTCGCCTGTTCTTTCAGAGAATAAACGAGGGTAGGGCAGCTTTTAGGCCCAGAGTGACGGCATGCAAAGACACAAATGGAACTCTTTTAAGCCACAAAGATGACGTACTAAGGAGATGGGTACAACATTTCAAAGGCGCATTAAACAGAGGAACGGTGCCTGGAGAAGTAGGTGTAATGAAGGAAGACTCCCTGAATTCTATTGAACCCCCGGATGAGGAGGAAATGGAAAACGCCCTGAGGAAATTGAAAAATGGAAAGGCGCCAGGCCCGGACGGAATCCAGTCAGAGCTGTTGAAATGTGGAGGTGAAGAACTCAAGAAAGCTCTGCATGATTTAATGCTGACCATCTGGGAGAAGGAAGCTATGCCTACGGAATGGGCAACAGCCATTATCTGCCCAATACATAAGAAAGGAGATCAAACAGAATGCGCTAACTATCGAGGAATCTCACTCCTTTCGTGTGCTTATAAGCTGCTCTCTAACATTCTTTTTGAGAGGATCCTCCCGTATTCTGAAAAGGAACTGGGGAAATATCAGGCTGGATTTCGAAGAGGACGCTCAACGACTGATCAACTGTTCTCTCTGAGGATGATCCTAGAAAAGACTATGGAGCGTAAGGTAGTCACCCACCATTTATTCCTGGACTTTAAAGCAGCATACGACAGCGTTGATAGAACGCAACTATACTGTGCCTTGGAGGAGCTAAGCATCCCTCAGAAGCTCGTACGCCTAATCAAGATGACCATGGACAGCTCGAGATGCAGAATACGCGTCGGTTCTGACGACTCCGAAGAGTTTAAAGTGAGCAGTGGGGTTAGGCAAGGGGATGCCCTCGCCTGTCTATTGTTCAATTTGGCAGAGGAGAAAGCTGTAAGAGACTCCGGTATTCAGACCAAAGATATAATCTTCAATCGCCTGACACAGCTTCTTGGTTTTGCTGATGATATTGACATAGTAGGTAGGTCTGAACGGGCTCTCAGAGAAGCGTTTATAAGCCTTGAAGCAGCTGCAAGACCACTTGGTCTAGAAGTCAACGAGAGGAAAACTAAGTATATGAGAGTTGGCGGTGAGGTTGATCTGAACTCTCCATTTGAGGTAGGTTCTTTTAAGTTTGAGAGAGTGAAAAGTTTTATATACCTTGGGTCTGAAATCAATAGCAAGAATGACATGGCTCAAGAAATACAAAGAAGGATCACGGCTGCCAATAGATGTGTCTTTGGACTTGGCCGACACTTAAGAAGTAGGTACCTCTCAAAGAAGACCAAGCTGATCATATACAAGACCCTTGTTCGGCCTGTTTTGACATATGGCTCAGAGGCTTGGACGATGACCAAAAGGGATGAGATGAAGCTGAGTGTCTTTGAGCGAGGAGTCCTCAGAAGGATTTATGGTCCAGTAAAGGAGGGTGATGTCTGGAGGAAAAGAAAAAATAGGGAGCTCAGTTCTCTCTATGCAGACATCAACGTAGTCACGTATATTAAACTGGCCAGACTAAGGTGGGCAGGGCATGTGGCCAGAATGAGCACCCATGAAATACCAAAAAAAATAATGATGGAGGAGCTGCACCTCGTAAGACGGGTAGGAAGGCCGAGGACGAGATGGTTGGACAACGTGGCCTATGATGCGAGAACCCTGCTTGGTGTGCGGAACTGGAGAGCTGCAGCAGAAGACAGAGCCAACTGGCGGAGGCTCTTGGAGGAGGCCCAGTCTCGGTGACGGGATGTTGTGCCATACATGAATGAATGAATGAATTACAGACCTTGAAGATCTTTTGCCGCTTTAACAAGCCTGCGCCATCTCTGCCTATATTAGGCTACTTCTTTCCAGTTATCTGCATGCAGTTATCGCATCTTTGTTGACTTTATCTATACATCTGTTTTTTAACTTTCATTTTGCCTTCTATTGAGGCATTCATTGTTACGTAAAGACTGCCAGATGAATTGCTATGAGCTGCATGCGCAACCCATCTTAACCTCCGTCCCTCTATATCATGGGGTATTAATTGACCAATTTCCATAAGCAGTTCTTTATTGGTCTTTCTTTTTTATCATGTGTTAGTACTCTGATTCCGGATCACTCCGGTTACCGTGTGGAGAATTTTTCTCTCAAATCATTCAATACTTTTTTCTAGGGTGCTGGTAAGTGTCCAGGTCTCACAGCCATATATTAGAACTGGCTTTATCATAGAATTATACACCATTAATTTTAGATTTCTTGGGAATTCAATACCATTGAAAGGGAGAAGAAAGCTCTGTTTGCTTTAGTTATACGTTTGTCTATTTCCGACCGTTGGTCATTCATTGAGGTTATTTAATCCTTCATTTTAATTTTAGGGTCAGATAACTATGTAAATTACTTTATTATTAATTGTTTTTTAATGCTACACAAATGTTCCAGAATAAAATTTAATTTTCTTTCCTTCTTACTTCTTTAAATAATTACGTTTACACAAAATTATAAATGTTGCTTGTTGAGATAAAATAAATTTAAAGGTTTTCATTTTTATATATTAAGGCCGTTATTCTACCAACATTTTATTTCGACAATGTTTTGGCCAACACTAGGATCATTTTCAAGTCTTAATCGAGTCCTCCACTGAATCTCCATATTCAATGTCATTTTCATTATTCTGAGGACAAATTAAAAATTTCCTAATATTTTAGGGTTTCTCCGATGTCATTTCTGGAGGAGGAGAAAATAGCCCTAGTGTTGGCCGAAACATTGTCGTGATAAAATGAAAAATAAATAAAATGTTGATGGAATAACGACCTTAATTTATGAAAATGAAAACATTGAGACACCAAATCTAGGTTTCAGATGGATGTTAATAATTGATAAAAAGGGGTCTGTATCACAGATTAAAAACATTAGTCTCTGATATGGGAAAAGACAACTTTTATCATTATTCTCTGAAATTATTTTTGTAATTTTATTGGAATTAATAATTTTTCCCCTTATTTAGACTATCGTGCATACAATTTTATATCGTCTGTTTTATTTTTAGTTCTAGAACAGTTTTAAAATTTAGTTCTGGTTTTAAAAAGTCAGTCATAGTAAAAAAAAGATCGGCACA